GGCCTTCCTGTCCCCTTTAAAGGACACGTTCAGGGACATTTTTGAAAAAAAGCAAAGATTTTTGCCGCGGACGGGGGTCGAACCCGGGCCACCCGCTCGGGGGGCGCGGATGGATACCAGTCAGCAACAACCTGGTGAGGGGGTGGGGGCGCCCCACGCCGCAAAGGAGGGGAATTGCCTGCCACGACACGGGCAGGCAGTGCGCGCGGTCCCTACGTCCATAGGGTGTACACGTTGGGACGAGTACACGGCCCCTCCCTGAACGTGCGCTTTAACTCCTTCCCCTATGGAGATACTACTGGAACAACGATACGGAAGTGGATGCAATGGGATCTTCATGATTTGGGTTATCGGTGTTTTTTTGGCTGGCTTTATCGTTTTCAGCCAACGAACGGGTCTGGCAACCTAGAAAAGCACCTGCAAATTTTTGCCCCTTGCCGGTAATGAGGCACGAGAATGTTGCGTGTGGCCATTTCTCATCATATGATGTCTATTTTTGTGGAGACAATTAGCTTTCTGGTGTGTCGAAGGCATGCCAAGCAAACCACAAAATACCGACGCTCCAAGAATACCGTCTGCGGCATTTTACATTTATTTGTCGGCATTACTGTACGGCCTTTTCTGCCTACGCGATTTTCTGGGAGTTGAGCTGCTGTGGTCGGGATCTTTGTTGTCCCTAAAATTCACATGGCCTCAAACTAGCGTATTATTGGATCAGGAATTTTAATATAGCTGGGGAAGACGGGAATTACCTTACCGCAAGACCGGATCAAAGAGTGAGAGAGCGAGAAGGAGAGCGATAGAGAGCGAGACAAAGCGAGGGATAGAGGGAGAGAGAGAAAGAGAGAAAAAACGAAACCGTAGCTAGTACACCTTTTCCTATCTACAGTCATGTACCTCGCTCGGCCCTGAACGTAAATTTGTTCCGGTCCGGTTCCGGATACCGGAAAGGACGTGCCGGGAAGTGAGTAATTTTTGAGGGGTCTACAGTACCATTGTACGTAGATGGCGTTGTACTTTTCGATTATTTTCCGCTCGAAGTACCTTAAAAAAGTCCAAAATTTGTACTTTTGATTGTTCGATGCTTCATTCAAATTTTTTGTGTTGTCTGTTTTCTGGCTTTTTGCTCCAGTTCAAATGAATTTCTATATATATTTTTAGTGGAAAATGGGTGGTTTTGTGCATTACCTGCTATCGACCGTCTTGACGGTGACGCTGCTCTCGATGCTGATCCTCAACATAAAAATGTCCAAGTTTATGATGGGGAAGAATGTGATACGGCAGGTTTTAGCACGCTTTAGAATTGGAAAGCATTTTTTTAAAATAAAACAAAAGTATTATTTTTTAGAAATAAAAATTCAGTCTACGTGGTCCTATTTTTTAATATGTGTTGCGGGATGATACAGGAAGTGACTCATTTGGTCGCCCTCATCCCGGGATTATGGCTGGAGGTAATTAAATAACTATTTCTATAATTTTTCCTAGACGTTCAAAACATAGCAAAAATCAGACAAAAACAACTCAATTGATCAAATGATTTAAACGTTGTCTAACTTACAAAAAATATAAAAAAATTTTTTGGCGGTTTTGACTAATCAGCCCAAAAAATTTCAAGTTTTTTAAAATATTTTGAGTCTTCAACTTATGGCAATTTCTCAGGGATGAGACCTGAATTTTTGTATACGGTAGAATACAAAAATAAATACGTTACCAGGAATCCCCAATACAAAGTTTTGAATGCGTCGTTTCCACTAGTTTTCTTGGCCTCAAAACCTTATTAAAATTTCAGGGTCATTTTTAAACCAAAAACCCATTTTACAAAAGCTTCAGCACAAGCCTAGCATTAAAATTCTGGGAAAGCTTACAAAATTCCGTCCAATTTCAGATGACAATCTTCCCCCGTGACTCCGCTTTTACCATTTACGGCGCCTGGTTCGCACTCGGGCTATGGTATGCAAACAGCTACGTGCAGATATTGCTGGCCTTCAATCGGTAACCCTTAGAAAAGCATTGAACTCTAGAAAATTACACAAAATAGTAAATCAGCAGCGATAGAATAATTATGAAGCATGAATCATCATTTTTCCAGAATCTCGGCCATTTTCTTGCCAAAAATCCATGCGTGGTTTACGATTCGATTCGTTATTAAATGCTTGGCTGTCATTGTTATATTGTCTGCGGTTACGACCACTGTTACGGAATTGATGTCGCCGTGTTGCAGGTACGGTAGTGGCATCTAAATATCTCTCTCTCTCTCTCTCTCGCTCTCTCTCTGTCTCGCTCTCTCCCCCTCTCTCTCTCTCGCTCTGCCTTTCTCTTTCTCTCTTTCTCTCTCTCTCCCTCTCTCTCTCGCTCGCTCTCGCGCACTCATTATTTGTTCCAGAATCTACATAGCTCCTCACAATTACGGCTACGACTACGCGCCGATCCATGGCGTCAATATGACGTTCAACTTTGCCAAGTTTTACATAGATTTGCCGTTTGAGGCTGGAGTCACCGCATTCTGTCTGCTTTCATACGGACTGGTACGTACTTTACTAATATCAAAAACGAATTTTTCCAGCTGTTCGTCTACATTCTTCACATGAAGTCCAAGATGGCCGGTAACAGCAAAGATTCTGGATATGAGATTAGGTGAAACAGAGTGAGAGAAAGAGGGAGAGAGAAGGCAAGAGAGAGCGCGCGTGATTGAGAGAAAAAGAGTGAGTGTGAGAGCGAGAGAGTAGGTGATAGAGAGTGAGAGTTAGAGGGATATAGAGCAGGAGCGTGAGTGCTCAGAGAGAGCGAGAGACTAGGAGAGAAAAAAAAGAGCGAGAGAGTGACGGTGAGAGAGAGGGAGGGAGAGAGAGAAAAAGAGTGATAGTGTCGGTGATAGAGAGTCAGAGACAGAGTGAGAGCGAGATTGAGAAGAGGCGAGAGAGAGAGAGAGAGAGAGAGAGAGAGAGAGAGAGTGAGTGAGATGGGAGAGCGCAGTTACCTTTTAACAATTTTGTGCTTGAGGTGTTGCATTCAATGCGCTCTTGTCTGCGCCTTCTACATGGGTACCTGGGTGACAGTCCATATTCTGCCACTAACCGGAGTGAAGGCCCGCGAAGTCTACTTCCTCTCGCCAATGTCCTACCTCCTGGACACTGGCGTCAGCTCGTTAGTCGTATGGCTGAACGAGAAGGTGAGTAGAGAAAACGCGGTGGGTGCAGTGGCTTTTGACTGGCATGCAAGTACTAACAGCTTCCGCAGAAATAGCGTATTTCCTTCTGAATCAAATTTAAATTTACCATAAAACCAAAAATATGAGCTATTCCCTTTCTCAACTGTTTTTTTTTGAGGTTTTTTTCTTTTACCAATTTTAATTTTGACGTAAATTAAAGTATCTTTCTATTCAAAACTTAAATCTAGGATTGTGAAAAGTGAATTTATGCTCATGGAAATACGGTAACCTCACTAACCTGGCAAAATCCAAGTCCTTAGAGGTATTAAAGGGATCTGGAAGGCAAAATATTACACTCAAATTTCGATTAAATCATTTTCACGGCACGTCAGCGTAGCTGAGCGTTTTTACAAACCTGAAACTGAAAAATTTAGAGGGGGGGACGTTACCTTACCTTACCCTAGCGTATCCGACCTAACGTTACCTCAAAATTTCTATCAAAATGATTTAAGCGACGCACGATCCGGCGGCTGTCTCTAGCAACAGCCCAATTCGGGCGAAAGATGACGGTGATCTGCTTGAATTTTTGGTTTTTTTGCAGGGTGCCATTTAGGTTTATAAAAATAGTAATTGCCCGATACCATAGTTTGCCTTCCTAATCCGTTTAATGCGGAATGTGAGATGACTCTTTGCTTGCCACACGTCCCCCCGAAGCGCACCTAGGAATGGAAGGGTATGCGGGGCGGCGCGGTCGCGTCGCGATAGGGAACCGCTTACGCGGGCGATTGGGTTCACGTGCTTTTCCGCTCAAAATCACGTGCAATTGCGGCGGTTCGTCGCCTAAAACGCGCGCCAGCGACTGTACCCCCTGCCCAGGCCTGCCAATTGGCCAAGGACACCCTTCCAATTCTGGGTGCGCTCCAAGCTGGGGTCGGATCCTAGTGACCAAAAGCACAACAACCAAACGCTACGATACACTCCTCTTTACACCACATTTGCATGCCGTGATGTGCTAATTTTTTTTTTTTTGGAAATATCGTAATCTCAATTTTTTTCAGGCTCGCACGGCCAGCTACAAGCCGAATGGTGTCGGCACGGGCGCCGCCCCCAGCGAGGCCACCGAGACGCTGGCTGGATAACCCCAACAATTTGCATATTTCTAGAAATATTTGTACATTTCTATGCTTTGATAAATATTTATATATTAATTTCTGGCAAAATTTTTACCGAAAATTCAAAAAAGCAATCAGCGTGAAAAAGCGTCTTTTTTACAAAATTTTCTACGGTATCCTGATATATGTAAATTTGGCTAAGTTCGCATACGGAAATTATTTTAAAAATAGCTACTTTGAAATGAATAATTCCAAATCGCGAAAAATCAGCTTAAAAAATTTGTTCTTGGCAAAAAGATTTTTGTGTGTACAAATTGTATAGTACGCTACAGTACGCTGCAGTACGCTACAGTGCGCCACAGTACTCTAAGCGGAATTCTGCAGAGAATAGTTATTACAATGTAAATATATTTTTTGCTAAAATTTTATTTTCAAGATTTATTCATCAGAAGACCAATTTTTGGCAATATTTCTCGAAGTTGAGGCCATCTACAGTATGCAAGCATGAGTGAAAAATAGGAAACCAGCCCCCGGCTACAGTACTCATCACAGAAGGCGCGTCATTTTGTATAAACCCGGAAACGTGGATTAAAGGGACAATGACAGGAGATTGGAGAGAAAGTGAAGCGATAGCGTATAACTGGATTATTGCTGGTGGGATTACACAAAAACACACAAAGAAATTGACTTTAAAAATTCAGAATTTGATTCGGTATTTTCCCAATTACAATATCTTCTTAGAAGAACGGCGGGTTGTTGAAATTCTAAAAATTAAATCATCGATTACCCCATGTATACCTGGAATTACCTGATAGTTAGACTGCGTATTATTGAAGTAGGGTTGGGCAGGCGGTTGTTGCAAGTTTTGCTGCGGAGTTGCGCGATTCTGAAAATCGGAGATTCTGATGAAAAATTACAGTTGGATTCCAACGTTTGTTGTTATTTCTGTTTCTTAGCCTTAGCCCTCCCCCGGATAACAGATCAGTACTTATGGTTCTTCTAGTAACTTAATATGACATAAACTTAAATGGCAAAATTCATATGCTGAAGTTGTCCAACATTTTTGCGCCACGGAAACTTTTTCGGTTCGAATGGCATTTTTTGAATTCCAAAGCACCTCAAAACAGGTCGATTTTCAATTCAATTCAATCAAGTTAAAGAAATTTTTATCGAATTATAACATTAAAAACAGCCTTTTCTAACGTTTTGCAATTTTTTTACTTTTAAAAGCGTAACCGTATTTTCTTAAAAACCGAAAAATTTATTTTTTACGATTTTTCGGTTTGCAGATTTTCAAGATTTACGAAACATTCGCATCGCTTTATTTTAATTCTATATTTTTTTATTAATGGCTAATTTTTAAACTTATTTATCGATGTTTTGCACCAATTTACCAACCATCTGCATGCCACTATTTGATCCCGTCATTCCCATCTGCCCGCTGTAGCCCAGCTGTTGCTGCTGTGGCTGAGACACCTGGAAATCGGCGCGGAATTACGGGAGAATAAATTGGATTTTTGTCCTTTTTCTCGAGTTGCGTTTGCTCCGCTAATTGGCGCTCTTTGCTGCCACCTACGTGCCAATACTCTTTGCAAAAACCTGGGCCAATTTTCGCAATATGCTAAATAATCTCTGGTCCGCTCGGAGGACAAATTTTATGCTAGACGTAAAATTTACGTCCATAAAACCTCAAAAAAATTCAAAAATGAATTTAAAATCCCTAGAGGACCCGCAAAAACTTTGATTCTGCATTTTTGGGACATCACGGATTCTGCGTAATTCTGGGGGGATCAAAAAAGCGTTGAACCCACGCGCTTGTAATTTATTGGAATTCTTTGGGGATTTGAAAAACGTGTTGGGTATTCAGGTTGATGGTTTGAGGCTAAATTGAACCGAGCTGAATCATGGAATCAAAAAATAAAAATCGGCATTTCCAAATGTTCAATGGTTTTGGGGGCTGGGGGGGGGGTGCGTTTTTGGTACAGGCGCGATTAGGGGGATCACGGGACTTTGTCTTTCTAGAGATTGCTAGGGGTTCGGAAATAAATTCAATAAAGGAGCAGATTCAATCAACTATAATAATTTTCTCGACGCGTCTGTCCGTCCGTCCGAAGCCGAATTCAACTCGAAGGGGAAAGGAGCTAGAGCTTAGCTCGCTTCGGATTCCGATAGAGCGTGGTCAGAAACCCGCAAACTGATAGAAAAATTATGAAAAAATTTTAGTTTAAATTATTAAAATTAGCTTTGAAAGTTTTTTCCTTAGTAAAAGGGGTGGTGGACGGATGTTGGGGTGATGTTGGCCATAGTGAGCCAGGTCGCGCGCGTTTCGTGGATGAAAATTGTCACGGGAGCCATTTCCTTTTTCTCCCACGTATCCGGTCGGTTGTTATTTTTGTTTTTTTAAAGGGATTTCGGCTATGGGGGGTATCTGCAGCCATCAGGAAGGTATTCAGGTAGTTTATGAAGGGGATTTCAGCTATGGTGGGGGGGACGGGAGCGGGGGCGGGGATGGGGTATTGATGGAGGTAGGGAAGGATATGGTGGAGTAGGAAATCTAGGGTAGCCCGAAAGCCTGAGGGTAACCATCTGGTAATTTATAGACCAAGGTAATATTAGTGTCCTAGAAATTTCGAAATAAAAGAAAAATAACTAGGCCAATTCATGGAGCTAACGGTCTGTGAAGGATCCATTTTGATTTTTTGTTAGATTTTCAGGTCATGAAAATGTTTGCCTTACCGGGGGGGGGGGGATCGTGAGCAAACAACCCCCTTTCTTTAGTATCTTTTTCTTTCTTTTCTTTCTACACTATTTTTTTACTATTCCGATGCAAAAACCTTAGCAATATATTTTATTAAAAAGGGTACGAAAGCATCGATTATGTTTTTAGATTATTAGGTACCCGCAGAATGGCTTACGATGCGGTACTATCACGATCCTAGTGCGTTACGGTACACTAGAATCTACAACGCGCAACGCAACGCAACACGACGTGGCCGCAACGCATATCAACCTCTAATTTTAAGACTCACTTGTTGCCCATAGCCTGGCTGCATGAACAGCTGCTGCTGCTGCTGCTGCATCAGTTGTTGTTGTTGTTGTTGAAGTTGTTGCTGACGTTGGAGCTCTTGCTGCTGTTTTAGCTGCTGCTGACGTTGCAGCTCCTGTTGCTGTTTCAGTTGCTGCTGCCTTTGAAACTCTTGCTGCTGCTTTAATTGCTGTTGCCGTTGCATCTCCTGTTGTTGCTGAACTTGCTGCTGACGCTGGAGCTCCTGCTGCTGCTGAGCTTGTTGTTGTTGTTGTTGCTGAAGCTGGAGCTGCTTCTGTATCTGCTGTTGCAGCTGCTGTTGATATGCGCTCGGCTGGGCCATTTGAGTTTGTTGTTGTTGTTGTTGTTGCAGTCTTGACTGGCTATTCGGCATAATTTGGCCCATATTTTGCTGTCCCATTTGAGGTCCGGCCATCTGGAAGCCCATCGAGTTCGAAGAGTTCAGCTGTTTTGGAGGGGAGAAGCCGCCGTATTGTTGGGGATTCTGGAAAAATTGCAAAATTAATCCATAAAGAAAAGAGTGAGAGAGAGAGAGACAGAGCGCGCGAAAGAGAGAGAGAAAGCTGCGCGCTGTGTTTGCAACGAACCTGTTGCGGCTGCGGAACGGCTTGACCTCCAGCCATTTGATTCATCCGCATCTGGCTCATCTGACTATTCTGCGGCGACTGGCCATAGCTTGACTGGGGGCTTCCAAAATTGAAGGCCCCGGAAGGGCTGGCGCCATGCTGGCTCGGATGGCTGTTATGGCTCGTATGGCTCATCGGGCTTGAGGTCGGTAGATTTCCATAATTCATCGGGCTCTGGGTGTGAGAGCTGGAATACTAGTCGTATCATAACCCATTTTGCTACGGCAGAATAGCTGTCGAGACCTAGCCTCCCAAAGGCATCGATTCCAGCGTTTCCAGTCCCTTTAGAACCCAAAAATAACTCACTAGGCTGGGCTCTGGGTCTGGAAGTTTTTGATCGGTGACCCTCCAGCTTGGCCAGCAATGTTGTGGCCCGAATTCTGAAGGGAATAAATCAAAAATTCTAAATGGCAACATATCTGCGCAAAACGGTAAAACTTTTACCGATTTGCGAAGAAAAACATAAAATTAAATTCACGTTCTTAAAGGGGCTACGAATTGCCAAAAATTATGTGACGGCCCGAAAATCGGAGCCCTGTACGTCGTAGGCCTCTGTACACCCAGGGGCGCGGGAAGCTCGCAAATTTGAAATTGCCTGTTGTCACCTCGAAATCACGTTCTCGGCTGTTTCTGGGCCAAATTTGATGCTTAAAACACCAAAACTATTTAAAATTGAGTGAGGATTGAAAAATGGGCTCAGAAGGCGCAAATTTTAGTGTTTTCACAAAGAAACCGAGCAAAAACAACTTCGCGCAAAAATCGATAGAGTGAGGGCTCTCGTCCCGCAGCGCCCGCTGGCAATTTGCCAGAAATCAAAGAGGCCTCCCAACAGGGCTTTGATTTGGCAGTTCGAAGCCCCTTTAATAATTTTGCTGACCTGTCGCTGCATCGCCGGAGAGCCGGAAAACATAGAGCCTCCAGAATTCATCTGGATCACCGGTGAAGCAGGTTCGTGGTGGATCAATGGCTTGGTTTCGACTTGGGAATTTTGTTGCGAGGAATTTGTATTGCTGCGGTGTCGAGGTGATTCTTGGAAAGAGGAGATCCAATCGAGATTGGTGGTTGGTTGAGCTGGTGGTGTTGGGACCGATTCCTTAAAAATAAAATAAAATGGGAAGTTCTTTTAAAGGCACGAGCAAGTCATGGCTAAGGTTTTTGTCAGTTCGTGATTAGCTATGGATTTTGCCTCACCGCGATACGCAACACGACACTCATGTCTCTCTCAGCAGCTCTCCCTCTCTCTCTCTCTCTCTCTCTCTCTCACACTCTCTCTCACGTTCTCTCTCAATATCTCTCTCAGGATATCTCTCTCTCTCTCTCTCTCTCTCTCTCTCTTCTGTCTGCCTCACCTGCTTTATCGCCACCGCCGCCTTCACAGCTTTGCGTTGCTCTTCCGCCAGTTTTGCCTAAAACACAGTTCCTATATCCAACTTTCTCGGTATTTTCAGGCAAAGTACGACAGAGTGAAGGAGTGAATCACACGTCAAGCATTAACAGTAGGGTGTAGAAGTCCATGCATTGATTAAAGGGACTTGCAAGGCGAAAAACTTTAGCTTTTGTATTGACGACGATAATCGACTGCTTTTTTTTTGCCTTCCATGTCCCTTTAAAATCTTGAATTGTGTCGGTCTCACCCTCTTATCGGCTTCAGCTCTCGCCTCGGCCTCCTGCCTCTCCGGGTCCTCCTCATCCAAATCTTCCATCAATGCCGCCATCGCCCGTTCTTCTTCCTGATTTTAGGAAATTCGTGACGTCGTTTAATTGGAGCGGTGGAAGTAGAAGCGTTATATATTTCAGACAGCGCTTCCGGTCGTGTTTTTGGCTTTTCACCATGCATCATCACAAAAGCTGGTGGTGGTATAAGCGCAATTTGCATGGACATTTGGGTAAGAGTTTACTTTACCCCCCCCCCCCCCACAGCCGAAGGGTCTCAAAGTTTTCGGTATTTTCGCTTATTTTGTCGGGATTCTTGCAACGCCATTCGATAGAGCGTCGAAAAATACACTAAGATTTTTAATTTGAGCCTACAACAATGTAAAATAAAAAAGTTATAGCCAAAAACTTCCGGCTGGGGGGGGGGGGGGTAAAGCAAACCGTAGCCAACATTTGTATGCATAAAACACAACTACAAACACACAACGGCAACTTGGCTATTGGCGGAATCGAGCAAATTTAAATTTTCTTTTGCAAGCGACAAAAAAAGGCTAATTTCACTGATTCTGGGACTTATTTGCATTCCTGAAACCGTCAACTTCAAACGATGTTTTCAAGTAATTTAATTGAATTTATCCGTCGCTGAACATTCGATGCATTTTCAAGCCGATGCCCATGCTTCAAGCACGAATGATTCAATCAATCATACCTCTCGTAGCTGCTTCTCCCGGAGTTCTTGCTCCCGTTTTGCCTTCTCGGCGGCTTCCCTGGCCCTTTGGGCTTCCAGCAGAGCTTTTTCTTCGGCGAGTTTCTTCTGACGGGCTTCTTCCTGAAAATGTCCGGACCATCAAGCGTACTTCCAATTTTACACGTTTTCATAGCTATTTGAAAAATTTCCTAAATGATCTCCACTAGCATGCCTAACGTTACTGAGACTTTTATCAATACTCAAAATTCAGGTAAGTAATCGCAGCCCACCTCTCTAGACGCCTGTTGAGCCATTTGCTTCCGTAGCTTTTCTTGGGCCTCTTGCTCAGCGATACGTTTTTGACGTTCCTCCTCGATTCGTCGGGCCTGCATTTTTATTAGTTGCTTACCATGGTGTAACGTACCTTTTCGCCTCCTTTTTGCCGTTGCTTCTCCTCCTTTTCCTTTCGTTTTTGTTCTTCTTTCTAAATCACGGCAAACTCGAAAATTTCTGTTTGCATACCTCAAGTCGGGCTTTTTGCGCGCGCTCTTCTCGCTAAAATAAAGGTTTTAAAACCAGAAATTCAAGCAAATTGCTGATATTTTTGTCATAAATTCTCGCGTACCTCCTTCCGTGCCTTCTCCGCTTCCTCTTTCTGAAAAGTAAAATATTAGATGCAGAATTTAGTTTTGAAAACTGCTTGACTCATCTAAAAAAAGTTCCCACCTCCTTCTTCAGCTTCTCCGCCAGCTTCTTCATTTTTTCCTCGGCTTCTTTTTGAGGGGATGGGGTGGATGGGGCAAGGCCTTGTTGCTAAAAGAAAATATATTTTTTTTGTAAAACGCTGATAGCCCTCCTAAACGAACGCTGCTTGCCTGCCCAGTTTTTGGCTGATAAAAAGTCACAAAAATCTTAAAAACAAACCATCAATTGCAGAGCAAGTGGGTTACTCTTAATCAGCATTTGTAGCGGTCCACTTCTTTTCGGGTCCTGGAGGGCCGAGAAGAGTTGTTGACTCGAGGAATAGCCGATTAACTGAAAAAGGTAAACTAAAGGTTTTAGGAATACTGGAATCGACCCCTTCCCTGAACTAGGTCTCGACATTTGCGGTGCACGCAAAACCGGCAAAAACGTCGTCGATTTAACAATTCCTAGTCTCTTTAGAATAAAACTCTCTTGTCCTACCTTTGCCACCTTCTCGGCAACTTCGAGCTGCGCACTGTTCACCGTAGGGAGGGCTGACTTGCTTGGAGTAGGTGGCTGAGAAGTACTCGGCTGCTTTGTTGGTGTTGATGTGGTGGTGGTAGATGAACTCGGTTTTTGAGGCAATAACGTTGGCATGGTAGACGTTGACGTTGAGGGCTTGGAAATCGATGCTTCTGGCTTCTGGGGCTTTGCGGCTCCATTCTGAAACGGTTACAGTACAGTTCGAAGCCAGTAGTTACTTATTTTTGCTTATCTCTCTCGGCGAATAATAAAACCTTGGCCCTGAAAACCGAGAAACTAAAAATGCCGACATTGGAAATACCGACAGCCGAATGCCGACAAGGTAAAATATCGACGTTCATTGTACCGACACGGAAACGAGTTTCTGCGATAGCTTTTTGCTGGCACTTTAGTGGTTTTGGCTTTTCGGTATTTTGGCTTTTGGACTTTGTTCTGTCGGTATTAGATTGGCCCAGACATGGGACAACCCCAAAAACCCAAACAAAATAAAAACATAAAAATGTTTATATAACCAAGAAAAATCCATAGTTGAGCATTAATGAGAATCAGGTTGAAGTTGAGGTTCATGAAATTGGCTTGAGGTTGTAGGACCGGAAGATAGCGGAAAACCGGAAAAGAAACCGTGAGGGACCGGGAAATTTTGGAGGGATCGAAAATAACAACAAAAAACAACGTTAACAGCAGATTACAAAGATTCAAATTAATCAAAAAATTTAGTCGAGGGTGATCGTAGAGCTGTTGGCGTTTGAGGTGGGTACGGTAGCGGGGCGTAGCGGAGCGCGAGGCGTTGAATTCTGAGGAGTCGATGATGTTTTTCCCATAGCTTCTTGCTCGGCACGACGCTGAAAAGAAACGGGGACTACTTTTGTCGATTGAAAAGGCATGTTTGATATTCCCGAGTTTAGAACAGGATTTATGACGTTACTTTTACAGATAGTTTCTAGTATCGGGAGGAATAGGGAGCCAGGAAATGTTGCAATTAAGTGGAAAAATTTGCTAAAATTGTATAGCCGATTTCCCTAAATACAGTAACCGGAAAAACCCGAACAGCGGGATTAGGTTTCAAAAAAATATGGATTTGGCGAGTGAATTTTGACCGTCTTGAAAAATATTCGCATGGAGGATTATGCCTAAAATACAGGATTACTGTAATGTTGAAGTCTGATAATTTCTATAATAAATTAGATTTTTTTCAAATTGGTTAAATTTTGGGATATCACTAATTCAAGTAAAATTGGGTAGTGCCGGTAAAAAATTTAAAGATTCAAGGAAAATAAGAAGGATTTGAGGAGGATTTTATGAGGGTGAAAAAGTTTGGCAAATTTTAATACACTGAATACGCTTCGAAAATATTTTGTATTTTTTAATATCATCGGATATTTATCAAATTTGCCTTTTTTCGTCTAATCCTTAAATTTACAAAATGGGAATACCTCACGCATTTTCCCTCGACCACACGACACCCACAAAAATATACATAAAAAATATAGAGAAAGCCAGTGAAAAATCATGGAGACAAATAGTGTCATGCCGGGGGTTGTCACGGGGAATTTCGGAAGTGTAGGGAAGGGGATTGTGGAACCCAAGATGACCCAAAAAAGACAACCAAAAGAAAACTCAAATACTCTTGCGGATACCCACCATGACCAGGGCGTCGGCATCCGCGATGGTTTGCTGGAGATCCTTGCCAAATGAGTCGTCAGCCGTTTTCAGGATTCGTCTGCAAATGGGGGATTAGAGAGCAAGAGAGGGAGAGAGAGAGAGAGAGAGAGAGAGAGAGAGAGAGAGAGATAGAGATAGAGATATCCAAAAACCCACTCTTCCGAAATGGATGGGTGCTTCTGATGAGCGATGCGGATCATTTCGTAGAAATCCTGAAAATCGATAATTTTGAAGAGTACAAACAACTAAAAAGCCGAATAAGTCAACCGTTCATTCTATGATTGTATAAATCTTGAGATGCTTAGATTGTATAAACCATACCTCTTGCATTTTTCCAGGTTCGCAGCCCGCCTCCTTTTTAGCATGAGCGTTCAGGAGGGCATAAGTGGCTTGGGTGACGGCTTTTCTAAAAATTTATATTTATAGGCTTAAAATACGATGTTTATATTTAAACTGCATGTAATATATAAATGATCTTTGTAACTAAAAAAGTAGCTTACTTGAATTTCGCAGCAGCGGCCGTCATATCCGGCTTCGGAGCATTTGGAGTAGTCCTGAAAATCGCGTTACATATTGATCTCACTCACCTTGTCTATCTTTCTCTCTCACACTTTTATCTCTCATCTCTCTCACTCTCACTCTCTCTCTCTCTCTCTCTCTCTAACTAACTCACTTTTGCGTGATCGCGCTGTACGCCTCCAACATGGCGAGCTCGTTCATCGCGTCGTCCATCATGGCGGCAGATTTCTGGCAGTGAGGGTTGATTTTCGCAGCCGGTTTTGAAGCAGCCGCAGTCGGCTTCGTTGGCTCAGCTGGGGTTGGCTTCGCAAGCTCCGGACGCTTGGCAGGTTCAGCTACCACAGCTTTCGTGGGGCTTTGCGGTTTGGGTTTTTCGATGATGAAGATGTCGGGGTCGGAAGCTTCGGTAGTAGCGGCAGGTGCTGCTGAAAGTTCAGAAATTTTAGGAAGAGAGGGCGAGAGAGAGCGAGAGAGAGAGAGAGAGGACGAGAGAAAGCGAGAGAAAGAGCGTGAAAGAGAGAGAACGTTAACAACTTACGTTTAGCCGCCGGCTTTTCCACCACACTGCTGCTGCCATTTTCATCGGCATGACCGCCTTTCGGATTATCACGAGCCTTGCGGAGCCTGAAATATCCGCGTTACTCGATAGTTTGTAGTCCATAGCTTTGGATTTGAATAGTATGCAATTTTGAAGACGTACCTCATATAAAGCGTTTGCTTCTGCATCCCGACATGTTCGGCAATTTGGCGGATGTAGTGGCTCCTTTCGTGGGTATTCAATTTTTCACGGATCATGTTGTCCTCGATTCTGGAAAAATTAGTCTGGTTTGATGGCAAATAAATGGATCCCGAATGGAAATCAATCTTCAATGAAATACTCAAAAGCCGGGTTAACTTACTCGATGACCATCATTACTTGTTCGGGTGTAAGTCGCTTCTTCTTCTCGAGCATAGCCGCACCCTTGGTTTGCTGAAAAGCGCTTAATTGCGATTTGATTCAAATTCACCGTTACGGTTCCAACCAGATTTTTTTAATTTAATCAATTTAATTTAATTTAATTTAACCAGATCAATTTTTAAATCATTTAAAAGGGCGTTAAAACTATAATAAATTTCGGCTGAACTCTGGTTTACCCCAGCCGTGATTTTGACTATTTACCCCATTTATTTGCATTTTCCGATATCTTTTTACCAAAATGTGGCGTATTATTGATTATTAGACCAAGAAAAACGTCTTTGGACACGACCTAGCTATTTATTGATGTAGATGTAGAATTTAGATCCAGCTCCTACCTTCATAAACGTAGCAATAAGCTTCTTCGTCGCCTCGCTGATCTCGTTGCGCTTTTTCTTGGGATAATCCGACGGTTCGGTTTCTCGGTTCGCATCTCTGGATGAGCTCGGACCAGGGGACCCCGACCTGCCATCCAATGGTTGGAGCTCAGGCTCAGATCCGGAACCCTCATCGGAATCCGATTCATCTGACGATTCGCTGTCCATAACTTGCTCGGCCAGTTTTCGTAGCTTAGCCTTCTAAAAAAATGAATTTTTAGATCGGATTCAGAGCCTAATCTGAAGCTGAATATCGATGGTACCGTGAAAAACTGACGTCATGTCCTTCTGAGGCTAGCGCTTCTAGCTTCCGTTTCTTCCTGAATTCTCGCTCCTTTTCATAGCGCTTCTCCATTTCGACAGCTTGTCTCTGAAAAATAGAAATATTAGGAAAGAGAGTGAGCAAGAGAGAGAGAAGAGAGAGAGAGAGAGAGAGAGAGAGAGAGAGAGAGAAGTGAGAGAGAGAGAGAGCGATGCAGAGAGAGAGAAAGGAGAGAGAGCGATAGATTGAGAGCGAAAGGAAAGAGCGTAGATTGAGAGCAGAGAGAGAGCGAGAGAGAGAAGAGAGAGAGAGAGAGAGAGAGAGAGAGAGAGAGAGAGAGAGATAAGACAAGGAAAAAAAATCGTGCAAAAAATTAGGGAAAACTCACAAGTGCCTGCTGCTCCGATTTACGTGCTTCCGCGTTCGGGTCGTCGAATGGGCCGTGTTTTACTTGGAGGGTACCACTGAAAAATTTTACTTATTAAAAAACGTACTTAAAATTGTGTAGTTTAAAAAACAATTCTACATGGCGTATAGCTTTGGAGCCAGCTGAACGCGGTCCAAAAAAATCGAATATCGGTTGGCCGTATAAGTTGAAGGGAACAAGGAAAAGTGGCGCGGTGGAAAGAAACCGACTTGCAAATGAAGAAGCCGCCCAGCGAATCGATGTAGGCCTGCGGGATCGGGCGCTCGTCCTGTAAAACAGCGGGTTTTTACGGCTGTGAAAAACGGAACATTGCCAGCTATCTCTCTCGCTCTTTCTCTCTCTCTCTCTCCCTGTCTCTCTCTCTCACCTCCGGATCAGCATCGTCAATGAACGGATCATCCACGTCGTATCCGCCGTAATGAACGTCCGTTTCTTCTTCGACCGATGGTACAGGCTTCTAAAAGATATGAAAATTAATGAGGTCGGATGCCTAGGCCCAAGCCCGAGCCGAAGCCTAAGTCTAAGCTAAGCCTAATTCAAGCGTAAGCGCAAGCTGACGCTGAAGGCTAAAACTTACCCATTGCCCAGAGCAGGCAAAGTCTAGCTTGGCTTGGTACTTGGCTTTTCCTTCTGCCGTCTTGGCCGAATCGACTTTGTCCTGAAATGCCCTTTTTTTCGAGGGAGCGAGATAGATAGTCAGAGAGAGAGAAGGTGAGAAAGAAAACAAAATCATACCTGAAGCTCCCGCATCACGTCTCCGTTAAAAACCGGGTAATCATTGCCAGTGGGCTTGAACAGCTTCAGGTCGAACGAGTAGGCCTTGCCCGGCTTGAACTTTTTGCCTCTGAAAATAGAAATATTATTTGGATCAATTTCCCTCTCTAGCTCTCTCTCTCTCTCTCTCTCTCTCTCTCTCTCTCTCGCCTCGACTTACTTATTAAAATTGAGATCCATTTTTCACGGCCGGTGGGTTGGCCAGGTAGGTTTAATTTCCTGGAAATTTGCATTACAAATATGATTGAACCACAGTCAATATAGAAAACCACTTAAAAAGCGTTGAATATGTATACCACAGTGCGGCATAAATATATAGATTTTTCCGTATGCAAATTATCCAAAACAGGGCGGAACGGAGCAAATATCTATCGGAACCGCCAAATGACCGAGCATTCAAGGTAAAAAAATGGATAATCTTAAAAAACTGCGCAAAATCGCATACGAATGGTAAATTGTTCAGCTACTGTATAATCCTTAGGCCGGTATATTGATTTTTCCGTATGCAAATGGACTAAAAAAGGGAAAGAGGAACGACTCATAGGTATCTGAAGTTTTACGTCCAACCTCGACCATCCAAACTTTAAAAACGGAATCAACCCAGAAAAATTGATAAAATCATGCGCCGTTTTCTTCGTTCAGGCTACCTTTGCCGTATGCAAATTGACGAAAACAGAAATGAAAGAAAGAGGAACGACAAATGAGAATCTGAAGCGCTGTAAAAACAGAAAAATTTTTGCCAAAACAGAATTGAAACCTTGAAAATCGATAAAATCAAGCGCAGCTGGTTTCGAGCAGCGCTATGCTTTTATTGGCTATGGGGTCAGTGCGCGCGCGAGGGGAAGCAGATGGTCACTTTCCATTGCGTGTATGGGCGTGGATAGTAGCGTTGCGTAGCCGGGGCGGTACTTTTAAGCTTGATGGGAAGATTCCATTGGTGCACCCAGAGAGATTGATAAGCTACAAGATCCAACTTTTGACGTTGATAACAGTCCTTGACTATAATGCATTAATAGACAACTAATCGATAGGAAAGCACAGCCACTTCCTCTGTAAAGCAAAGGAATAATGAAATTGGTTTTTTAAGGGATAAACCGGTTTCGTGCTTTGTTTTCTTTCGAAATGCTTTGTCAATGATGTGATCCCCTTTTTTGCGCTTAGTTTGGAGTTTTTAAGCGATTTATCGTAACCGTAATCGAATTTATAGATTACTATAAATACCGGTAACCGTGAAGAAAATGCCACAAATGAAAAAGGCCACATCTGACCACACATGCTGGGCGAAATGGAAGAAGTCCTGCTTTTCAAGGATTTCAGGCAAAAAGGTGGCCGCGTGGATGCAAGCAGGGATGGTGAAGCCGAGTAGACAACCTAAAAACGTTCTTTTTCGCGAATTTCGAATTTAGCGCATTTTCAGCACTATTTCGTAAAAAATTAACCCTGAAAGTTTAAATTGCAACTATTAACTTACGTTAAATTAAAATTAAAAAGGGAAAGGTTCAATTTCGTTAAAACGTTGGAATACCTGCGGTGACGCCAACCAGTGAAGTGATTCGTCCTAAATTCGGCACCAACACGGCCAGCAGGACTAAAAACGTTCTGAAGATTGTAGATATTTACATACAAGCCGCAAAGACAACGATGATGCACAGGATCCTTTCACAGGTCCCGGGGAATCGAGTGACCAGAGTATCACCAGAAAATTTTTTCTAAATATGGAATCAGAGAAATTGAAGCAAAAAACGACCGAAACGCGCTTAGAGCATGTTGCGTGTTCTTTTTAGCACTTCCTAACAACACGCATCGCGCACGTACACGATGCCACGATTAAAAGCACGGACAGCAAATTAAGTTTTGTTATTTTACCTGTATCCAAGGCCACGACATATCAATCACGATAAAGTGTTGGATTAAAAATGTGGTGAATACGGATAGGACGAGGAAGACACGGATGTAAAAGTAGAACCTGGAAATCGATAAACGACTTTAAAAACGAGCACGAGAGCTCACGTCGTGTCCGGCAAGTTTAGCGTAATCGCGCCCCTGACAGCATCTCCATACTTCAGGTAGCCAAAGAAGCCAATGAGACCGTATACTGAAAGAGAAGGGGAGATTGTTGCAGCCAGTTTTGTAAAAGTCCTACAAAGTGTCAAAAATACTTACGAATTGTAACTACAGAACATCCGATGGACAGTACGCCTCGAGAACCAAGCATTTGCCGGGGTTGTCGCATTTTATTGGCAAGCGGTAGGACCTCGAAATTATCAGTTAGCTCTCTCTCTCTCTCTCTCTCTCTCTCTCTCTCTCTCTCTCTCGTGTTAAGCCTCAAACTCACAATCGCCTGGCAACAAAACGCGTAGATAATATTGCCAGAGGCGGATATAATCGAACCGGCACTAGTGGTGACAAGTATTTGGCCGGATGCATAGGGTGGGCGGACCAAGTCCTAAAATATGCATTAAATTGATTGAATTAATGAACGATATAGATGCTAAAACCTATAATGATACTAGAAGCAAGTTACCTGGAAAACCATCAACATTATAATGACCATTATAACGTTTCCAACAGCGGAAACACGACTGATAAATCGGAGATCTCGAATCATTACGATCAGACATAGACAGAACACAGAGATGAATAGAAAGCTGGAGTCTGAGATTTCATTTCCAGGAAGAAGCCTTGCAGCTATCTGAATATATTATTTTCATCGTCGGGATAAGTGAGAAACGCTACCTCCTGGAGATGCTCCTTAATAAAAACCATATAAACCGCGGAGGCCCCAAGTTGCATTGAAATTATAGCGGTGTTGGTGAAGGTTCTGGAATCGGATTAAACGGGCTGGACAGCAAGGGCTTGCGTTTTAAAAGGACCAGGAAGCCAGTCTATCGACTTCTTTCGTCTACTGACATCGACAGCTACGCTTCACTCCGAAATACGCTCAGATAATTAACAAAAAAACGTTTTCACAAGTTTTAAATCGTGCGGTGTGTTCTTTGGCTGTAACGTAACTGCCGTGGAGCAAAACTTAAAATGAATTTTTGGAGTGGTAGGGGCTGTCAAACCCTAGTCAAAAGACGGGTCGACTTTCCCAGTTGTCAATCCCTTTAAAAGACCACAACATATTGGTTTACCTAGCAATAGCACCATATTTTCTCCACGATGGTAGGCTGAATTTGAACGCATTTTCCGCGACACCACCGTAGTCAATCGTTGTGATACCGTGCCTGTAAAACATCTCAATTGTTAAGCTTAATTTTTTTAATTTTTAAGCAACGCGGCAGTTTTCAGATACCTTTCTGCTAAGTAAACAGCCGAGGCGACCAATTTCTCACCAGCCATATAGGTAAAGAAAAAGCCACCCCAGATTACGATGGCGATCGCTATCTAAACGAGACTTAATAAAGAGGAGATATACGAGATAATACATAACTACGATTTTACTAAAAAAACAACGTCCATAACCTGTACATTTTTTAAAGAAACGGAAAACTCTCGTCTGATGAAAAACCTACCAGTGATCCCCCTTCCTTGAAAGCCAGCGGCAGGGCTAAAACTCCAGTACCAACCAGCACCCGAGCAAAATTCATCAGAGCTTCATTTGCGCTAGAATTTGATACGTTCAAAATTCAGACGCACAAGCCAGGCAATTTTTTTACAATTTTCGAATTTTATGGCAATTTTAGCTTTTTTTATGCGCGAATTCTCAGTCAGACACGACTTCAAAAACGTAAATATGTTTGGTATTTCCATATATCTTAAAAACGGACCTTATTCCAGGGTGCATCAACTCTGTAGCAGATGATTTTGTCATTTTTGCAAAGAGCAAAATCGATTTTCAGATCCACGGGTCCCAGGAGCGCAATATGGCAATATGGATTGTTGCTTTTGGGGTATGCAGAGGCTGGGGTCAGCGAGATGAAATGAAATTTTTTTAACCCAGTGCATACCTCCCCGGTTTTCCATAAGCCAGCAGCGTCCACGCTTTTTATTATTTTGCTCGGAAGGTTAGGAAAGTGTGCTATGAACTTGCGAAATCAGGTACTGTTCTATTTCGCGGGGGGGGGACAGTGCGGGGGGGAATGTTCTTAGTTTTGTTATAGAGGCTATTTTGGGTTGTAATTGAAACTCTTAGTATATTTCTTGACGCTCTATCGAATGGCATTAAAGGACCTTTGGAACGATATCGAAAATGTCGAAAACTCACTTTCGACTCCACGATCCCATGTGGAAACACCGAATAAACCTTGTTTTTGCTATAACTATTTTATATTACAATATTTTTAGCTAAAACAAAAATTCTTAGTATATTTTTTAATGCTCTATCGAATGGCGTTGCAAAAATCCCGAGAAAATAGCGAAAAGATGGAAGTTTCCGCCAAGCATATTCCCCCCGCCCCGCGAAATAGAACAGAACCGGAAATCGGCATTATAAAATAATGATATTTATTTTGAGCTTTTTTTTTGAAGCCGTTTTCTTGTATTGTTGATCTAATGTGCTGAAATATTGTGAGAAGACGTCCAAGTATATATTTATTTGCAGAAACAATAAATAGTCACAAAAGCCAACAATTTCCGTTCGACTACCAATTACTGTAAATGCCAGCAATCGTGAAAAAGATGCCACAGATGAAAAATGCGCAATTTGTCGACATATGCAAAGCTAGGGATCGATAATCGCGATCCGCAAGATATTCGGGGAGGAATGTGGCGGTGTGGATGGCGGCTGGGATGATGAAGCCGAGAAAGCAGCCTGAAAATATTTTTTTTTAAGCTTTTGTGGTTCTTCAGAAATCTCTACTAGATTGCTCTCTACATGACGGGAAAATTAGCGATTTGAGATGCGAGAGATTCCTAAATAAACTATGATGGTTGTCAGCGCTGGCTAAGAATGACAGTAACGCCCTTGTTTCCAACAAAAAAAATTTGAGGAATTCCTAAAGAGACTTTGCTAAGTTGCCCCAATTCCTGCGCAACAAAAATAATGACCTAATTGGCTTCAAGCTTTCGTTCCAACTTCCTAAAGGATCTACGCTAGTAGGCTTGCGTAAAGCGGGAAAAAACCAAAACTTGAAATCAAAGTAGGATTTGAAAGTTTAAAGGCCTCTGGAAAGATCGGATTGGTCAAAAAGCAAGAAGAGGTGCACCGGCCGGGGGTCGAACCAGGGATGGTCCGCTCCGCAGTCCAACGCGCTACCCCCACACCAAAGGGGTCGAGTGGGTGAGGGCGGCGGAGGGGCCCCAAGTACCCTAAGGCCGAATTGGTGCACGTTACTGGGCAACAATCAAAATAAAGCTATTTGCAAATAATAATAACGAAAAAACCTACGGAAAAGCTTGCTAAGGGCAAGGAAAGCGCTCCCTGAATTTCCTAAAGTGTCTTATACCTTTTCCGACGATTTTGGAACTAAAAAGCGCCCCAAAAACCTCTTTCCGCTCAGAACATGGCTGCCTTCTATCCAATCAGCCTCAAATTTTTATCACCGATGGGGATGGCTAAAAACTATTTTTATGGAAGTTTCCAGCCAAAAATATAGTCAATCAAAAAAGTTATGGCTATAGACCCGTTTTCGGGAAACCCAGTCGGGGGTTTTGGGGGCCCTTACGCGATGGAAAGCGTGCATGGTTTCGCCCCGTCGGTCCCTCACCCCTGGGGACGCCCGGCCATCTTTCCAAGGGTCTTTAAGATTCCTAAAGATTCTCTGCTAGGCTGCCTACCAGCTATCGGAAAACTGATCAAAAACTGGATCCTATCGTTCCTCAATTATCACGGCTAGCCTTCCCGTTGCTCTTACCTGCCGTAACTCCAACCAAAGACGTGATCCGGCCCAGATCCGGTACTAGGACGGCTAGCAAAACTAAAACAATCGACTAGCCAAAATTTCCGCCATTTTCTTACATGCAGCCAGCACGAACACTATGCACAACATCCGTTCAGCCGTCCCCGGGTAGTTGATCAGGAAGTTATTTGCACCGTAGGCATTCTAAAATGCGGATTATGATATTTTTTTCACTTACCTTATTTCTTAAAAAGCGAACTCACTTGTATCCGTGGCCAGGTCATGTCGACCAAGACAAAATGTTGGATCAAATAGGATGTGAAAACAACGAGAACAAGGAAAATGCGGATGATGAAGTAAAACCTACAAGTTCTTTCATAAATACGATAGACCCCCAGCTTACGTAGTATCCGGTAAATTCAGGGTTACTGATCCACGCACAGCATCACCGTATTTCAAGTAGCCAAAGAAGCCGACCAACGCGTACACTGAAAGACTAAATACGTCACGAAACAAAAAAATTGTGACATAGTCCTAAAGTTAAATCAAAACTTACAAATCGTAACGACTGAACAACCAAGAGATAAAACTCCTCGGTGGCCTGACATTTCTTTGGGTTCCTTCATTTTGTTCGCAAGGGGAAGGACCTAAAAGGTACATTTTCGCCGAGTCTTTTCACAAAAAATCTCGATTACGTTTTCCCAGCATCTTAGAATTTGGAACCACGCGGGTTTCAAAATTACGTACCACAGCATGAGAGCAAAACGCGTAGACAACGTTCCCGGCGGCGGCGATGATCGAGGGGAGACTGGGCGAAGCTAGATGTTGCCCAGAAGCGTACGGAGGGCGGACCAGATCCTGAAAAACGCCCATAACGGCCATGTTTTAGAGCAGTTTCCGGTGCACCTGTATCACCATAATCAACACAATTGTCATGGCCACATTCCCAAAGGTGGAGACATTCGTAATAAAACGTAGATCCCGAATCATCACGATTAGACAGCACCCAGCCAACGCCAAGCCAAAGAATATCGACCCAGAGAGGTTGTGGCTCGGAAAAATTCGCTCGGCTATCTAGAAATCAGAAAATTTTCATATTTCGAATGATGTCGTTATCGTTACCTCCTCGAAATGCTCCTTAATAAATACGGTATAAACTGCCGCAATGCCAAGCTGCATTAACAGGATGGAGCCGTTGGTAAAGAGCCTAAAAAACGATTTTTGGTTGCCGACTTTTTAACTTTTTGTAGATGAAAATAACAACAAATAAGAATAATCTACTTAAAAATGCTGAAAGTGGACAAAAATAAGCTATGTAAAGTTAATGCAATTTTTCTATAAAAAATACCTGGCCAACCACCCATAACGTTTTATCGAATCGAAACTGTGTCGAAATGCGTTTTCCGCTACATTACCGTAATCGAGGGATGCGTAGCCGTGTCTAAACAATTCGAATAGGTAGTTTTCCAATCTAAAAATTGCACCTTTTTGCCAAAGCCAGGGCCGAAATGACAATCTTCTCACAGCTGACGTAGGTGAAGAAGAAGCCCGCAAATAAAATAAGTAGGATGGCTACCTAAAAAAAATCATCAGTAAGCCTTGCTGGTTTCTTTTTTGTAGTTTTCAAGGGACCAGGAAGCACAAAAATCGACCCTTTCCATCTACTAGGTCTCGACAGCTACGCGATAGTCCAAATGACGCTTTAAATTACATAGGATTGTGCTCCAAAGGCTGAGGATGACCACGACTATCAAAAATTCATATGAAAATTAGCTTGAAGCTGTTCTTTGGATCGTCGCGTAGCTGACTAGACCTGGCCATTGGGTGGGTTGATTTTGGTACTTGCTAACGCCTTTAAAACCCTTGGTCACTTACGATTGTTCCACTTTGTTTGTACGCCAACGGCAATGCCAAGACCCCAGTGCCGACCATCACCCGGCAAAAATTCATCAAGGCTTCATTGCCACTAAATTCATAGATGATGAATTAGCGCATAAATAAAAATTAATTAAAATTGATCTATGGCTTAAATTAATTTATAGAAAAGTAATGAACAATTTAATTGCAATGAAATAATGCAAAATATAAAAACTAAATAAAAATAAAATCGATCCAAATCCATACCTAATGCCGCCTCTCCACCCCAACTGTGAGGTCTTGCGCTCGACGGGTTGATTGAAATCGAATGAAATTTTACCATTGGAATTCATTAATACAGCTTTATTTCTATAATGTAGCTTGTAATTAATTTGTTCAGACGGACCAGGCTTAAATGATCAGCCCTGTCCAGGCGGGAACACTAAAATATAATTTCCTGGAATAGTCGGTTGATCAGCGAAACCGTGCGAAAAGCGGTCGGCTCGGTTCGGCGGGCCTGAAATTTGCATAAACCGCGGAAGTTTGAGGCCGATTTTTGGTTTAGAAGAGGTGAAGCAACGCTTCTAGACAAATTGATGACAAAGCGGCAACTTTAGGACGAAGATTCAAGCCAGAGAGGGACCGAAAGGGCGAAATAGAAATTTAGAAACCCACGCAAATAAGCCTCAGAAAATGAAGTTTACAATCGTGAAATTATCAAAGGGATTTTCGCGTACAAATAAAAAATTACGTACAAAGAAGCGTGATTATGGGGGTTAAGGCAGGTTTATCAGCTCATTCTTAGAAATCGGCAGGGTTTCGGTCCAAGGCGTTCCAGGTATCAGGGCATTTTGGGAAAAAAGCTATCCTTCATTTTTCATCCATAGCCAATGATGTTCCCAAGAGTCGGGTTACATAAAAAAAATACATAAGAAAACATCCATAATTTCTAGCAATTACTGTAATATGGCAAGCCAAGAGCTCCAAGAAAAAGTTTTACTCCAGTCTGAAAATCACCGCTCATAAACATCAATCGAGATAAAACTGCGAATAAAGGCAACGGTTTGCTTTTAATTTTTGCGGAACCGACGGCTATGAACCGACTTCCGAAAGGCAAAAGAAAATGCAAAAACCGCATAACGATTTTTTTACAAAATGATGCTTTTCGTTAACGGTTACGAGTGAATTTCGATCGGTATGTTTGTCGAAATTTTAAGGAGCTCTAATTGCATACCAGATTCGCGTGGTTGGTAATTTTTTGCAACTAGGTGGACAAAGGTTTGAAAAAAATCAATTTATCGTCATCATAAAAAAATAGTAACCAATAAACTCGAAGAACACAGGATAGCACAACGCTTGGCGGAAAGGCACCGGATGTTTGGGGGGAGGATCAAAAAGATCATTATTAAATCGTGATTCAAGAAAAAAAAAACAAAGTGTTTTTGGAGGGTCAGCAGGTATCATTGCATTGTATGTTTGTGGGTGGGAACGGGGGAGATTTCATGTTTGCGCATTGCTTTTCCATTTGGGAAAATTGGGGTTGGGGGGAACCAGTAGAAATTGGTCGATTTTCGGGGTGGAACAACGCATAGATCATCAAATTTTTTGGGTTTGAAGAATTTTCATCACCGGGGAATTGCGAGAAAAATAGATGGGAAAATATTAAAGCGATGATTTTCGATAAAAAATCAAATTAAAAATTTGCCAGTTTTGACGTTGTGGAGCTTGATTTTTAGGTCAAATTTAAATATTAAAATTGCTTAAGTTTATGAGATTTCGCAAATTTTAGAGCTCATTTTGCCAAATTCATCCTATATTTCCAAAAAAAAAACAATTTTTGAAACGTTTGAAACCGCTAAATTTGAATAAAGTGACTTTTCGACCAGTTTTGGCCCAAAATTTTTATTATAAATTAAAACTATTAAAATCCTGGCCGTAAAAATGAGCACGATGGAGCAATGAAGAGCAACCCGTAGAAACGTTAAATTTGTCACAGCAACTCAGCATATGTGTCGCACAAAAAAATCGATTGCATAAAACGGGTATAAAAATGGGCATAAATTATTGGTGTTTGGATTTTTCCACAAGGCGGGCGTATCGCGAATTTTTGTCGGCGAGGAGACGCTGCGGGGCGTCAAATTCGGCAAGTTCACCCTTTTCGAGCACCATGATTCTGAAAGGAAACATTGGAATAAAAACTTTCCTGAGGTCTAAATCAATAAAGTGATCCTGATATTTAAAACCCTTCAAAAAGCTAATTAAAGAATTACTAAATATAGCTAATAGATATCAAAGACACATAATTGACTTTTTTATTAAAAAACCGGCGCCCAAAACCCGCTTCGCGGGCCTTGGGCGCTGGAATGCGGCCTTTGCATGAGGAATTTGACTTTCCGATAGCTCGGGTCCTTCGGACCCCCCTTCCCCCCTCGACCGGCCACAAACGCGAGTGCAACTTGCAAGAATGAGGAGATTTGTATTTTTTCACATTATGCAAATCAGCCCTCCCGAACCCCCAAAATCAATAAAACCTGCTTTAACTTTGTAACCTTGTATTTTATCAAAATTCTGAGAACGCCAGCGGAAACAGAAGGGTCGATTCCCCCGGGTGACGGAGAATTAAGGCATTTTGGACACGGGAAGGCCCTCAAATCGGGCCTCGAAACTGACATCCACACACACACACAAAGATACGCGACCAAATTATATAAGGTAGGATTCTCTGTTCAAAAACCCGTCAAAAATCAAGTAAAAATTAAGATAAAAACATAGTGAACTCACTTGTCATATCCAGCCACCGTATTCAGCCGATGGGCGATAGCGATTACGGTAGCGTCGGCAAATTTGTCGCGGATTACCTGGAAACAGAGGAAACTTTCCTTGCCGCTGTCTCTCTGTCTGTCTGTCTGTCTCTCTCTCTCTCTCTCTCTCTCTCTCTCTCTCTCTCTCCCTTCCATACCTGCTGCACAAGAGCATCAGTAGTCACATCAACAGCTGCCGTCGCTTCATCCAGAATCAGAATTTGGCCCTTCCGGAGGATGGCTCGGCCCAGGCAGACAAGCTGGCGTTGACCGACACTAAAATAAGGTTTTAAGCTAGTTGTATTTTACTATTTTACTATTTTTTAATATTTTGTAATGCGTCGAAGTTTTTAATAGAAACCTCATGTTCTTCCCTCCCTCGGCGATCTTGTAGTCCAGCTTCTCCTCCTTATCTTCAACGAAGTCCTTCAACTGGCAAGCATCCAGTGCTGCCCACAGTTCCGCGTCGGAATACTTCTCGAACGGATCGAGGTTGAAGCGTAGGGTGCCGGAGAACAGGACTGGTTCCTGAAACGTGGCCAGTTAGATGGCCAACTTCTTAGAAAAGCTAGGTTCAGGCAAGTTCACCGAGTTATAATAACTTAAAGTATCTGCGTTTACCTGGGGTATAATCGTCAATTTCTCCCTCAAGTCGTGCAGCCCGATGTTGTAGATGTCGACATTGTCGATCGTAATCCGGCCATCGACCGGTTCGACAAGTCGGAACAGACCGAGGGTCAAGCTGCTTTTGCCTGATCCAGTTCTCCCAACAACCGCCACTTTCTCTCCGGCGTCGATGGTAACCGATAGCGTTTTCAACACGAGTGGAAGACCTTCCCTAAAGCGAGTAGGTTAGCTTAATTAGCTGCATTCCTTGCAATACTTTAGTCGCCTATAGCTCAGAATCGACGAACCAATGAAAAAATGCAATTTTTACCTGTACTTGGTGGAGTACTCGCTCCAGTTGATCTTGCCGCCAGCTGGCCATTGCGTATCTGGTGGGCAATCCGAGCGCCATTCCATCTGAAAAGTGATATTAACATCTGTTTCATTGCAGCAGATTATTCAGCTAAAACATTTTGTCTTAATATATTTCTTAAGCGACGTAAGGTTTTCATACCTCCTCATCCAGCCCAGTATAATCCTTGATCCTCTCGACGGATACGATATTCGACTCCAGATCAGCCAGCATCCGCACGGCCATATTGAGTTGTTCCGTGATCTAAAAAAATATCTGTTTGCTCTGTTTTTGAAAAACGTAAAGTACGTCACTGATACATAGAAAAATCCATAACAACTTACGCTCAAAGCAAACGACACGGACAACCCGAGCAGACCGGGGCTGATCACGGAAAATCGGGTTGAGATGACGCCCATCAGGGCGGCGAGGAGCACGATGATGTTACCGAGGAGTTCGAGACTAAAATATATACATGAGAGAGCGTGAGAGAAAGAGAGCGAGAGAATGCGAAAAGGAGAGAAAAGGAGTGAGGGAGAGAGTGAGAGAGACACTTACCGTATTCCTAGCCATCGATTCGTGGCCATAGTAAGGTGTCGGCATTGAATATTCTTGTCGACGATGTATCCAAAGGAGTTGCAAGTGTCATCGACCTAGAAGTACTCTTTCGCTCCTCTCTCTCTCTCTCTCTCTCTCTCTCTCTCTCTCTCTCGCTTTCTCTCTCACTCTTTCGCTCTCTCTCACCTTGCCATAAGCTCGAATTGAGGTCGCGCCGACGATTGTCTCAGCGAAGGTGGACAAGATTGGAGCTCTTTTGACACTTTCTAATCTTTTCAGTTGACGAGCGGTGGGGACAAAGTAGCGCTGAAAAAATTAGAATACCTACCGCTTTCTCTCGCTCACTCATCTCTCTCTCTCTCTCTCTCTCTCTCTCTCCCACTCTCTCTCTAAACCTACCAATATCAAAAAGTAGAAGAACGTGAGCGGGATGATAGCGAGAATAAACACCGGCGTGGAGTATGAGATCAGGCAAAGGATCATGAGCACCTGAAAATTATGATATGGTATTTTCTAAGGATTTTTCGATTACCTGTAACGTACACTGCGAGAATTGGCGAAGATTTTGTGGGAGTTGAGCATCTACAACCTCGAGATCCCGACTCAACCGGGTAAGGATCCGGCCGATCGGGGTCGTGTCGAAGAATTGCATTGGGGATCTGGAAATGAGGGTTTTAGAGGGAGTGCGACAACTTTAGGTCGTTAAGAATTGCACTAAGGAGCCGAGAAGGCGCACATTTCGACCCCTGGAGTGCCTAGGCCTCGACAACTACACGATACATCAAATTACATGCAAAAAGCGTATCAATTTTGCGATAAAGAACGCCAGCCAAGACAAGAGTGCTGGGCGAAAATGCATAAATTTTACCATGCTAAAACGCCAAAATATCGACATTTCGACAGTAAGAACACCGACACTCCGGCTTTCAACACTCCGATTTCCGAAATTCTGATTTTCGGCATTATCGTAAACCCTTTTAGCATGACTCGTATCTGTCGAGACCTAGTCGTTAGAATGGGTCGATTCCCGCGCTTTCTAGTCCCGTTAAAGGGACCGTGACAGCGATACCGTACCTGAGAATACTGTGCAAGAGAGGCTGGTGGAGTCGAATACACGCTGCTTGCATGGCCATCACTTGGAAGGTGAGGGCGAGGATGATGGCAACGACTAAATAATTCCAAAAATTGTCTTGAAAAAATGTCAAGCGAAATTAGGAATTAGGTAAAATTTAAATTAAAAAATATAACACGAGATTCTCGTTTAAACTTTTTAAAATCTTTAATTTCTAAGGTTTCGTACCTTCCAAAGCTCCCAAAAGTGTGTATACACCAAGTCGTTCGTAGACCGACATCGTAGTGTTTCTAGCCACGCTGGCTTCAGCATCGGACCACTAAAAAGAAATTGTAAAGTCTCTCTCTTTTTTTTTCTCTTTTTCTCTCTCTCACACACTCTCTCACTTGCTCTGACTCTCTCTATCCCGCTCTCGCTCTCTCTCGATCTCTTGCTCTCTCGCCCTCGCTTCCTCCCTAGATTTCTCCCCTCTCTATCCCCCCTCTCTCTCAATCTCTCCCTCCTCACCTTCGACAACCAAATCGACCTCGCCGACAACAAGACGTAGTGCATCAACAGGAATCCGATAAATGACAATGAAAGCTTGAGCGTGGCGGCCTTCAAGAACATCCAGTACACGGATTTATCTACCTAAAAACGTGTTCCATCATATTCAAGAAGTTCAGCCTACCCTGCCGGTCGCAATGTGCTCTGGTTTGTTCATTTTCGGCTCGACAAAGTTGATCTTCTTGCCGCTTTTCGCTTTTTCAGAGACCGACGAGCTGAGGCGGGTTCGGCGTTTTCCGGGGATGGTAGCTGGGGAAGTGTCGTCAGGGTCAGAGCCTGAAAGGGAGAGGGATAGAGACAGAGAGAAGGCGAGAGAGAAAGAGAGCGATAGAAAGAGAGAAATAATTCCTTACCAGTCTCGCTGTCCACCTTCTCCTCGTCGAGCTGCTTCTGGGCCTTGTGGTATTCTTGGAGAAGCTCGTTGAAAGTGCCGTCAACAGATTTTAACTCGGAATAGGTGCCTTGTTGGATGATACGGCCACCTGGAAACGTTCAGATGGATCGCCTACTCTCTCTCTGTCTCTCTCCTCTCTCTCTCTCTCTCTTTGTGTCCCTCTCACTCGCTCTCTCTCTCTCTCTCACCTTTCATCACCGCAATATTATCGGCTTCTTGGGTGTACTGAAGCCCGTGAGTGACCAGAATTCGAGTTTTCCCTGCTAGCAAACCTCGGCGGCTGATGACCTAAACGCGAAAGGAATCTTCAAATGCGTATCGCTACTTACCTTCTCGAAGACGTTCGTTCCGACGTGAGCATCTACAGCAGAGAGAACATCATCAAGGAGGTAGATGTCGGCTTCTTGATACAGGGCTCTGGCCAATCCGAGGCGGGCTTTCTGACCTCCAGAGAGGGTGACACCCTGAAAGGCAGAGTGTAGAGAAAGAGGTGGAGTGGGAGAGAGGGAGTGAGAGAGGGAGAGAGTGAGAGAGAGCGAGAGAGAGAGAAAGAGAGAGAGCTTCTAAGCCTACATTTTCTCCAACTTCGGTCAGATCACCCTGCGGGAAAATGGAGAAGTCCGGCTGCAACTCGCAAGCGTCAACGATCTGAAGCAGTTCATAGAATAACCAAAAGATTTTGCGCTTTCTTGGTGGCACTGTCCCTTTGAAATTCAGCCAGAAACGGAACACGAATTCTGGACGTGTCGCGGAAGCGGTGCGTTAGGCCTACCCACCTTCTTGTAGAAGAACACGTCAAATTTGCGCCCATAGACGATATTCTCGCGCATGCTGACATTTTGGAGCCACGGTTGCTGAGGGACATATGCGATGCGGCCGGTCAGCTTCACCGACCCGCCCAAGACGTTCATCTCGCCTAAATCATAATTTTGCACGTCTTGTTGCTCCCATAGGTAGAGCCTTGTATAATATCTTTGTATATTAAATACTAGCCCTTTTTTCAAAATTCTCACCCAACACTGCCGCTATCAAACTGCTCTTCCCGCTTCCGACTTGCCCAACTACGGTGGTCATCGACCCTACTGGGATCTCCAGGTCAATGTTGTGCAGATCCGCGCTGAAGTCGGGGCCTCGCCAGTTCATCGAGACCTGGAAAAAGAGGATTTGATTTCGTTGTAGGATCCCCGACATACCTGCTCCATCTGGATCGCAAAGTTCGGCTCGCTGCTGGTCCACTTGTGCTTGCGCATCTCCTCGGCGTTCAGGAAGATTCGAAGCCGTTTTTCGGAGACAGAGGCCTAGATGGGAAACTCTTGGATTTTGCGAAAAAACTGACCTGGACGAGGTTGTTGATGAACTGGGCCATAATCCTCATGGGTTGCCGGATTTGGTTGAAAATGGCTAGGGAGACGAAGGCCTGGAAAGAAGGAGTTAAAGTGAAAGAGAGCGAGAGAGAGAGAGAGAGAGAGAGAGAGAGATTCTAGTTACCTTCTGTGGTGTCAAAATGTTCTCTTCAGACCAGAGGACGTAAGTTCCGAACGATACGACGGCCACCTAAAAATGGGATTACATGGCGTAATTGGTTAAAACCGCTAAAAATTCATGAGGAAATTTATAGACATGGAAAATATATTCTTAGATTTATCGTGAGGGTACCTTTTACTCTCTTCAAACCAGGAAATTGAGTTTCCAAAATTAGGCTACAGAGTAAATTCTGTTAGGCATCATAATATAGCGTAATTAGTTAAACCCGAGAAAGTAGTGTCGAAAGGCGAGATGCCCCTGGGATAAAGAGCACCTCGTGGTAAACTCAATATATCCAAGGTTGCCACCATCTGCCTTACGAGTAGGAAAATACCAAAGCGCGCCGTGTGTATAGTATAGAGAGTCGGTCGTTCAGTGGATTTTGGTCAAGGTTTAATGCATATGAATGTAATGCAGTTATTGAATAGGATAAAGATAAAAGAGGTTTATTAGAGAACCACAAATACACCTAGAGCAATAGTAAGAAAAGAGAGTGAGATGCGGGGAATGCACCGTCCCCTTTCGGGGACCGTTGCCGTCTCTCAGCCATGGGCCAAGCGACGAGGGAAAGGCTCAGTACATTCCCCACTAAGTGAGGAACCTCCCAAAACCTCCCCTAATCAGGGGGGCAACGTTGGTGGATCACATATGCTGGGCGTGGGACTGCTGGGCGTTCGGGTATTCCCTTTGGGAATGAATCCCGCCCGAAGTATCATGGATCTCCCTCCCAGAGGGAAATCGCCAATAATCGAGAGCTGGTTTCCTCGAGAGAGCCCACTCCCCTGGGCGCCGCCCTACGGTATAGGGGGCGCGCAGGGAGAGCGTTGCGGGACCACCCCCGCCTGGGCATTTCCCTCGAAAGGGCCATGCGGATTCGGGAATCCGGCATGGAACTTTCGACACTCCCGGCCGACACAAGGGCAAGGCGGGCGAGGCCCTACCAGTGGAGGTATGAGTCGAACCCTCCGGCCTGGCTGCCAATGTACGGTCCGCGGAGTGCCCCCACCAGGTGATGCATTATTGTATCATCGGGCCTGGTGCCAATTTGGGCATGGAAGGGATACAGTAGTGGTTAACGGCTCGCAAGAAGGCCCTGGGGGCCTCGACGGCCAGCGTCGGGAGGGGTGCTGGTCTTTGGACAAACTGGGCTTTTGTGATGGACCAAAGACAACTGGGTTCACCTCCGCAAATGGTTGAGAAAAGGTACAAGAGATAGAGCAGGAGGAGAAAATGTGGTCCATAAAAAAGGGTGGGACGGGTGGGGCCAAATTAGTATAGGGTGGGGCCTCACGGGACTTGATACATGATAAAAAGGAGACAGGGGGAGGTGACCGGCGCTAAGAGGCCCGTACCTCTGCCGGGTCACCTGGGGGACGTACTTGTCTCATTTGCTTGCTGCGCTTGATTGGACTTGACTGCTTGGCTGCGTGTAGAGCTTGGCACCGGAGCTTGCTTGATTTGACTTGGGCTAGGGGCGGCGGCACGTCTTGCTTGACTTGTCGGGCCTTGAGCGGGTGTTGTCTTGTACTTGGTGAAGCCACATCGCAGAGCTTGAACTTGACTGGGCAGCAGCAGCAGACGAGGCAGGCTATACGAAGCCTGGCTGGGCATCACACGGCTCGGTAGTTGGGAGTTACCCCTTCTTGCGAGACCGTACAGGGTAGAGAACGATTCTACAACCCTGCGCTGTGTATTTTTTTCATCATTTCCGCCGCACAACAAAGTTGCAACCGAAGTACATCGGCTCTTGCTTGGCAAGGCAGCGAGAACTTGCTGTGTATTTTTCTCAAAAATTTTTGACGCCAAGTGCTGGCGCCAAAATGGGCTGGGCAATTGTAAAACCTCAGCGTTCACCGCGGAGACGCGGTTACTAACCTTGTTGGGCGTTTTTGAAACCTCGTTCTCCACGCACAGCAAAGCTGCTACCGAAACATCGGTCCTTGCTGGGCAAGGCGCGAGAATTTTGCTGGACTTTGAAAAAATTTTTGACGCCAATGATGGCGCCAAAGCTGGGCTTTCAACAACTGGGCTTAGGAAGCAGCGCGCATGTTCAAGTGACGAGTACGCAGTCAAGGACTGCGCGCGACAAATGAAAGCACAACTAACCTCCTTTGTTCTCCCATCCTGCGACCAACTCGCCATAGAACCTCTCTTCGCGATCGCTTGACACTGTCCTTGCACGCTGTCACCGGCAACAAGAGTGAAGTAGTCAACGTTGAGGGGCGGCGAAGTAGTGTTGGCCGCCGGCGTATGGAGATATGACACCCTGGGCTTAACTCGAATGCTCTACGCTTGCTCGCGGTGTCATACGAGCAAAGCTAAACATCGAGTGTTAAGGCAGAACTGGGCTTCCGGTGCTCGAGGCACACACTGACTAGGCGGCGGAGACCGACAGCCAGGGCTGGACATTCGCCAATAGCATGGCAGAGAAGCTGGGCGTCTGAGCCAGGTGAACTGGCTCAGCAGGACTGGTCGTACACTCGCCGAGTAAAGGCGGCGCTCCTGCAAAGGCCAGCCTCATTTGCCTTACACTGCTGTTAGCAGCCCTCCGGCCTCCAACAACGGCGACAACGAGTGCTTTCGGAAAACCTGGACGTAAAGTCGGACACTGATGTCCGACGCTGGACATTGTGCATCAATTATGCAAAGAAAAAAGAAATGTCGAGGTTGCAGACATGATTGAAATCTGGGCGCTGCAGCGAAAGCACGCTTCCAACTGAAGGCCATCAAGCATCCTTGTCTTCGCAGCCTAAAACATTCTTAAATCGCTGGGCTTTTACATCCGTAGATGTGCAAATAAAGAGAAATAAGCCGCAGTGTTACTGAATTAGCTACGCCGTACCGAAGTAAACTTCAGCAACCGACTTCACTTTCAGTAACCGCGGACCTAAACTCCTATTTGTGCTGGACATAGATAAGGCTGGGCTTTGTGCAACACGTATTAGGCGTAAAGTAAACTTCACGCCGCAAAGCTGTCAACCTTACGCATAGAATATGCGGGCGGAAAAGCTTTGCCGTTGCGAGCTGGACATCAAAGTTTTTAGTTGGGCCTAATAGCGCGCAACTAAAAAACTTTGTTGAATAGAAGATAATTCCATTCTCTGGGCGTAAAAAGCAAATGCGACATAGCACAAACTCTACGAGACAAGCCCGCAAAGAAAGGCTATTGCAAATGCTACTGGGCTTCGAAGGTATACCGACTATCAGCGCCCGCCGCCTTCCACGTTCGCTTCATCCACTATCCGCTTCTTGTCCTTGAACCATTGTTGCTGCTTATGGGCGGCTGCGACTTGAAACATCGAGGCGCTTCACATCAACACGGCTTGATTCACGATCGGCGGGCTGGTTGCAATCGGCGTGGCACGGGCGGGCGGGCGCATCGATAACCTGTGCTGGACCTCGGCAAATAATTTGCCACTGGGCTTTTGCCTCAACTTAAAAAAAGCTGGGCAACAATGCAATAATGCATTGTTTTATTTGTTTTGTTTAGAGCGCGAGAAAGATACATTCGCGATAAACAAAAACAAATACTTCGTTCCACGCGCCCAAATGAGCGGCGCGAACGGAACTGGGCTTCGACGAAGGAAGGGCGCTCGCTGCAGCATTCGACTTGCGTACTGCTGCATCGTTATGCTTCAACGCTTCCACTTCACTTCGCAACTGGGCCTAAAAAACCAGGAATATCGAAAATTTCGATGTCCTGTTGCTGGACTTTTGGGGTAAAATAGCAACGAGGGCGGATAAAGCTATCCACGCACATGCCGTTGCTAAATTATACCTAGCTGGACTTTAAATTGGCTATTACTAGCGCAATTTGGCTGGGCTTTGCGAAATGTTGCAGAAGCAACAAAACGCCTGGACGTTTACCTCGATCCGTGCAATCAGAGGCTGCCAAATTTGACGAGCTTCGAAGAAGCCGACACGAAAGACGTTCATCTTCGATTCGCGGGTTGCTTTCCCCGATTGCACCGGACCGAGCCGCTGGACTTCTTCATTTCGATCATCACGGGTGCGCGGCAAAGGACACGCGACCGCACTAGACTCCTGAAATGAATAAATTGGGCGTCTAAAAAGGATTTAGATGCTCCTCTTTGAAAGAGGGAGAACAACAATCAGTAAGAGGTGAAGAAATTTCACATTACAATCGAAGTTGCATCTAAAAAATCCTGCTGGTCATAAAAAGGAAACTGGGCGTCCCTGCATCGCAAATTCGTATAAATTCGCTTCAGCGCGTCAAATGAATGACATAAACGCTAAAAGCAAACGAAAAGCGCGAACTGGGCGTGTTTACCAAACTTTCATCATCGAAGGAGCAAGCTTCATCATCTTTGAGCGCCCATATCGACACAAACGCAAGCATCCGCGCGCAATCGGGCACATCCTGCGACCATGTGGCTTGCATCCATTGACTTGAGCTCGTTTCACGCCGTTCGCCGCCATCTTCTTCGTTGCAAGCAGGAACTGGGCGTTTATTTCGTTGTAAATGCAACGAAAAACTTTAGTTTCAAGTTTTCCCAAGATCAGCGCGTACGAAACGCAATGCCGGTACTAACTTTCAACAAAAAGCATGGCTGGGCATTAAAAAAAGGGTAGAAAAACGCGAAAACGCTTTTCTTTCCTTGCTGGGCATAAAAAGAATAAAGACAAGCGGAAATACGCTTGCTTTACACTTTGCTGGACGTAAAAAAGGTGCTGAGCATTGCTGGACTTATTCGAAAAGGGAAAGAGAAAGCGAAATGGGATTTTTGGCGTAGCTAGCGCCAAAAATCAATACCGTTTTGTCATCTGGAAACTGGAGCCACATCTCCGTCGTCACATCGATGTTGATCATTGTAGAACTTGACCGGTGTTGAGAACCATCCGCCCCGCTGTCCATTCGTCCCAAGATGTGTGGCCATCGCAACCACCTTTTTCAAGGGGATTCTGGGCTTTCCCACCTTCGCGGGGCGAGTATGGGCTTTCAAATCGTGAGCTGGGCATGGTTTTGATCAGGCAACGAGTGCCGCAAAAGGAAAACGATGCGAACACCGATCTTAATTCTTTCTAACCACACCGCTGATCAGGCGGCTGTTCTGGGCTTGTGACTGGGCTTTTAGGCTTCGCGTACCTTTGACAAATCAACGCCCTCCCCTTCCGATGATTTACGGTGCCCACTTCCAGTAAGCCGGGGCCGCGTCGTGAGGATAAATCCTACACTAGGGGATTATCTGCAAGAGGTCCATTCCGACCGGCGTGCAAACCCCTGCGGACACCCATCCCGTAAAGTCAGGCTTAGGGGTGAAGGCCGAAGCCAACGTGAGGGACGCGACATTGGGGCTGGCCCCGTGGCAAGCCGTTGCGTGAGTTCGCGACCATCCGCAATTTTCGCCCAATGACCGGCTGGTCAGGCTAGGCAAACCGTGGAGAATTCTCGTCGTGCATCAGAGAAACTCCGCCCGGCGACGGTGCCTAGAACACCGCCGCACGCGAAAACACAAAAAAGAGAAGACACCGTATAAGGAGTTCAATAAAAACTAGGGAAAAGGAAAACAATAAAAGACAGACACAGGCCGTAACCCGAGACGCACCATGTCGAAAGGCGAGATGCCCTGGGAAAAGAGCACCTCGGGTAAACTCAATATATCCAAGGTTGCCACCATCTGCCTTACGAGTAGGAAAATACCAAAGGCGCCGTGTGTATAGTATAGAGAGTCGGTCGTTCAGTGGATTTTGGTCAAGGTTTAATGCATATGAATGTAATGCAGTATTGAATAGGAAAAGATAAAAGAGGTTATTAGAGAACCACAAATACACCTAGAGCAATAGTAGAAGAAGTGAGATGCGGGAATGCACCGTCCCCTTTCGGGGACCGTTGCCGTCTCTCAGCATGGGCCAAGGACGAGGGAAAGGCTCAGTACATTCCCCATAGTGAGAACCTCCCAAAACCTCCCCTAATCAGGGGCAACGTTGGTGGATCACAATGCTGGGCGTGGGACTGCTGGGCGTTCGGGTATTCCCTTTGGGAATGAATCCCGCCCGAAGTATCATGGATTCCCTCCCAGAGGGAAATCGCCAATAATCAGAGCTGGTTTCCTCAGAGGCCCACTCCCCTGGGCCCGCCCTACGGTATAGGGGGCCGCAGGAGTTGCGGGACCACCCCCGCCTGGGCATTTCCCTCGAAAGGGCCATGCGGATTCGGGAATCCGGCATGGAACTTTCGACAAGTAGTATTAAATTAGTGACAGCAAATTAACTAGCATATTCCCTCACCAAAAACGGGGCCGCCGCGTTTGCTGCATCAACGGCTCGGCCAACAAGTGCAGCTTTTCGTAGATGTTTCACTTCCTCTACCCTCATCCCGATGATTTTCGCTTCGAATGCCTCCTCCCAAGCGTATAGCTTGATTAGCTTGATGCCGGAGAGGACCTAGGCACACATAATTCAAATTGCCGCTACGCGACGCACCTCATTGCACATCTTCACCCGGGTGTCTTTCACTTTCATCTGCGCGATCTGGCAGCGCTTCTGGTACCGTGAGCTGTAGTAGTTCAGAGGGAAGAAGCAGAGCTGAAAAAGACAAGTTACCACGGCGATTGGGCCTTAAACTATCCACATAATCTCTGCTAGTTTGCCCAGTTTGTAAAATGGATGTCAGAGCACTTTAAGTAAATAAATCGGCGGCTTGACGTCCCTAATGGTCTCTGCTAGCCCTCCCAAAGCATTTAAAATTATCACTACTAGTCTGGCTTTAAATTTTAAAGGAGGCTTGAAGTCAACCGCAAGTGCTTTCTCCACCCACCATAATCAGAATGCCACCAATTGCCGGAGGGCCCAGCACGAACCAGAGCAGCACCATTGCGATGGTTATCTAAAACTCGGACATCGAATTGCGTAGCACACACGGAGAGTGAGAGAGAGAGAGAGAGAGAGAGAGAGAGAGAAAGAGTTATTGTGCTTTACCTACCTGTAGTGGCGTTGACCAGATATTGTGGATAAAAGGCAGCACTTGGATCATCTTCTCCACATCGATCGCCATGAAATTTACGATTTCGCCGACGGTTCGAGTGCTTCTGGCCATTGGGGAGAGGCGTAATGTCTAAAACATACCGTGACTTCTGAATCATACAAGTACTTCAGAAATTAAGTTGCTCAATAATCCATCAAACGCTTACTTTTCTAAACACCGAGTTCACCAGCATGTTCTGCAACTTGACGGAGTAGACGATTACCCGGTAGATGAACTGAAAGTCAGGGTTTTTCTCTGTCTCTCTCATTCTCTCTCACCCTCGCTTGCTCTCTATCTCTCTCTGGTCTCTCTCTATCTCTCTCTCATTTTCTCTCTCTCTCCGCTCTCTCTCGCTCTCTGTCTCTCTCCTCACATTAAGCCAACTTACTTGATTCATAATTAACGATCGCACTTCTGAGACCATAAACATGCAAAGGGCTATGCCGATTCCTAGCGAAAACGGGGCTTCTGGGTCGGAGATGAAGTCGAGGAGGTATCTGAAAAGTTTAATTTTCTCACTCCCGCTCTTTCTCTCTCTCTCGCTGTCGCCTCTCACTCACTTTAACAGTATCGGGTTCAGGAAGTTCAGAAAATCAGCGATTAATCGTAGGCTCATCATCGCAATCCACTTTGTCCGGTACATTCCAAACAACGCAAATGCGAGGGAGGGTGTTTTCCCCTTTTCAGCAGCCTCTGAAACCTCGAAATTATGCATCAGAATTTTGTTAACTACCATATTGCCGCTTGGCCCAGTGCTCCTCCCACCTCGGGAGCAGCTTCTCACATTTGGTCTCGCTATGAATCGGGTAGAGATCTTCGGTTTCCAGCGCTTTCTTCGAGCCGACACTGACTGGAAAGAATACGGGTTGAGAGCCAGAGAAAGCGAGAGAGAGAGAAAGAGAGAGAGAGAGAGAGATGAGAGAGAATCATGGGAGATCGAGAGTAAACTAGCTGATGGAAAACACATTTAGAGGAGACTAGAAACCCCGAGAATCGACCCCTTCTAACGGCTAGGTCTCGACACACAACACATCTAGTAACAACAACACCTTAGTAACACACAATTTGGAGCAAATGGAAAGCGTTTTTGGCGTAGCCAGTAGTTGCCGAGTCCTAGCCGTTGGAAAGGATCGGTTTTTAGATTTCCGGAGCTCTTAAAATAAACTGGGAAAGACTTACCAAGCGGAGTGACCCATTGCATGAACAATTTTGACATGAAGCCCGCATGCTCTTCGGGTGAGGCTTTCTAAAACAAAAATTTTTCAAAAAAATTACTTAAAAATGGTATTATAATCCGAAAACAACTTACGAGTACATCCTTGACCTTTTCTGAGCGATCGCTGATTGACAGCAGAGCCGTTTCTGCCATCACCGAGAGGGCTTGCAGCGGCAGATTTTGCTCATATATCGGGCGTTCGAAGAGCTGAAACGAGGTGTTTTAAGGGATTATCATTATTTAGGTGTGAAAAAACAAAAAGGTACCGTTTAATCATCGTAAATTTGAATTTAGCAACAGTTCTGCCAAAAAATGGAGTTTTAGTCTCACAACGTAGGATTTAAATATGGTTTTTTAGGACTACAAGAACTCTAATCTTTAATAGATTCTTGGACATCATTAAACCAATTTTAAAATTATCGAAAGTTTTGAACATGCAAAAAATCTATTTACCCGCTTCAGTAATCTCTTTAAAAATTATTAAGACTTCAACTACAATAATCGCCGACATTATGAAATTTTGACATTTTTGATCATCGACATTGTAAATTCCGATCGATTCCGTTCCGATTTTGGCCGTTCGAGTTTGTATAACCCAAAGCTACAGTAAGAAAATTGGATCCGCTGCAGCAATCTCGATTTTTCAATTTATTCGGCTTCACCCGCTCCGTCCCAGCTTATCCCAACCCATCAGAAAAATATTTTCCCCCACCATTCTCACACTTTTTTACCCTCATTGACCTGATCCAGATGTATAGTGGAAAAAGACGGAAACACAATCCCGGAATTAATGAGCCGAGACTGAAAAAGGGGGAGGGAAAGATTTGTGGTGCTATTTTCAGGGCATTGAAAATTGCACAAAATGGACGGCTGCGTGGAGAAGTGTGTTCATTTTTATTTCCTTTTTATCGCATTGCTTGCGCACCGTCAATGCGAATGGAACGGGGAAAACCGCAAAAAATTACACGGAAAAAATGTTGCCAAATCGGGTGGCAAAGGTCAGGAAAAGATAGGGAAACCCGGAACGGAAAATGGCGCGTGGGAAATAGGTAGTAAGTAGGGTTTTCAAAATCCTAGTCAACCTAATTTCAAGAATTAACAATTTATTGACTTAGGTTTTAGTTACCGTTAGTTATTCTCAAGCCATTTCGCCTTAATATGCTCCTTCGTTAAGAACTGACTGTAGCAAAATGCTTAGACGGTTGAGGCTTGGCTAAATTTTTCGGGATCAAAAAGGTAAGGTAAGCATTTTGTAAAAAAGCGTATTGTAAAACGGATAAAACCTGATACAGATTTTTAGAAATACCACTCTTTTTGACATCTGCCCTTCCCGCACCCATGTGAACCCACCAAATCCGTGCATCAAAGAGGGCAAGGGGGCGTCTCTAATAGACGCTTCTATCATTTAATAAAAACTTTGAATAAACGCGTCCTAGTCTTCAAATGTTTTTAACGAACAAGATTTCAATTCGATATTGCAAAACCCCGCCAAATTCTTGAAAATCGAGTTACGGGTTCCGAGTCAAGGAATGAGGGAGACTGAGGCAACAGGGAAAATGACGGCTGAAAAACCATTTAAAAAAATTAGAATTCGAACGACCGAGAAATAAAAAACATGAGAAACTCACAAGGACGATGATGTCAATGAGTTGTGTAGCGGATAGGAGGACAAACGTCACGCATAGGGCCGGATTGTAGACGAAACCGCGACGGTAGAACTGGCGGTACGCAAAGGCGCTGACGGTCTAAATATACGTCATATTAGCACAGTAAAATATCTAATTTAATACACTAAATGCATAGATGATAAGGCGAGGTTAAACAACCGGTCAGAATGGAAAGTCAAATTGAAAGTACTGAAATTTTATAGAGGCTTCATTAAACCCGGGAGAATCTATCTGTTTATGGGGCTGACGCACAAACCGGAAATAATTCCGAGCATATTTTAAACGCATTGTTCACCCCCCTGTGGGGGTGTGCGCCGATTGCGACGGCATGTGCAATGCCGGGACGACGCTGTTTGGCGAGAAGCAAGCTTCTGCTAACCGAACCATTTCCAAAAATATGTTAATCTCGTTGTACACAATAGTGTACGTATCGGAGATTAAGCCGAAAAGAACAGTAACTAACAATTGATCATAGCCAGGGGCCAGAAGCGATGTAGATGTGGGGAGGGGTGTGTATTTGTGATGGGGAGGTCGTCCAGGTGTGGGGCGAGTCGGGACGGGGATACGGACATCGGGAGAGGGCACAATTTGAAGGGTCGGGCGGGTGGTCTGACCCCCGGGATCAGCTAAAACCTGCCCTCCGGCTACTACTAGGCGCGAAAAACCAACGAAACGATCCTCTATGCGATTGGGGTTAGGTCTGATCTATGGTTCCTTAGATTGGGATAAGTAAATCTACTAACTCTACTCTGATAACTGGAATTCCGGAGCCACCGTTTTTGTGATCAAAACGTTTGACACGGCAAGCGCGAGTCCGAGAGAGAGAGAGAGAGAGAGAGAGAGAGAGAGAGAAAGAGAGAGAGGGAGAGTGCGAGCGAGAGGGAGAGAGCGAGAGACAGAGAGAGACAGAGAGAGAATGAGACAGAGCGAGAGTGAGTAATTGAGTGAGTTAGAGAAAGCGAGCGAGTGAGAGCCAGGGTGAGTGAGAAAGTGGGAGCCATGGTGAGTGAGATAGTGAGAGCGAGGGTGATCGAGGAAACGAGGTAGAGAGAGAGAGAGAGAGAGAGAGAGAGAGAGAGGGAGAGATATATGGAAAAAATCGAAATGAAAAGTAAATCTTAATCTGCAAAATCTCCTTGTGGTTCGTGCTTGGAAAAACAGGGCGTGAAAAGGTGATAACCTCCAAAAGCCGCTTCCAGCTGCTATCAGCTAGCAGAGATTCTGAAGGACGGCCCCGATTTCTCCCGGTCTTCATTTTCTTTTTTTTTCCAGGGGGTAGATCAGGGCCATGTGGGCAGAGCAACTCGGAAAGTAGCGAAGAATCGGGCATAGGGCTTCATTGCGGGGGATTATAATATTTTTGAGGGCAGATTACGAATATAGATCTCAAGCCCTTGGCCAATTAATTCGGGTAAAAAACGGGTCGCCCGGGAAGCCGGCAAAAATTGTTCCGATTCGGGGATTGTAGCATGGCTTCAGGGGTTTCAATGGCTTGAATGTAAAGCACGAAAAAGTTGAAGAAAGAAAATTGCGAAAATGTAAATTTCTATTTGTGTTTTACCAACCAATTTATCTAAAAAGTAAAAATCGTAACATAACATAAAATATATTATAGGACATTAACGGCGCTTTTGCATTATCGGGGGGGGGGACCGGATTTTTTGGTTTAAATCTAGAAATAAAAAAAACTCAAAAAAACACTTTGAAAAAAATCGAAATTTTGATATTTAGGTCGAAGAATGGCCATTTTGTCATTTTGGCTGTTTTAATAAAAGTTTATGACATTTTTGCGACTAGTAAAAGTAAAAACCGTCTACAAACACTGCCTCCAATTAAACTGGAAAAATGGATGCTAAAATACAGCTGATCTCCCCGCTAATACCAAAGAACCAAAAGCCAGCATTGTCAAGATTCCAGCAGCAAAGATTCTGGCCCTAATTTCTACACTATAATTATGCAATTGGACAGATGCCAAAATCTCGGTAAGCAATGTATTATTGCCGGTGTTGTGCTCCCGGTTTGATGGAAGAGAGAGGGAGGGAGAGAGAGATAGAGAGAGAGAGAGAGAGAGAGAGAGAGAGAGGGGAAGAGAGAGAGAACGAGAGAGAGAGAGGGAACGAGAGAGAGAGAGAGAGAGAGAGAGAGAGAGAGAGAGAGAGAGAGCGAAAGAGAGAGATAGCCACAGAAAGGGCCCAGGAAAAGCTGAATCAGCCGACCAAAAAGGGGGAAGCGAGAACTTTGATGCCGGTCTTTTTTTGGCCCCCACCGAACTTTGCCGTTCTTTTTTGCGTGTGTGGGTGCGTTTCGACCAGACGGCGTCTGGTTGGATTCGGAAATTGAAGCGGCACCACTAAAACATCCAAAGCCCGGAAGTGAATTTCCTTCAAAAAATTCAAAGGCTTTAGAAAAATAAAAATTAATAAAGCTAAGTTCTTACAAGGTTAAAAAGGCGTTTTGTTTTATGTAACTCTTTTTGTGCCATTTCAACCTGACCCTCAAAAATTATACACATAGAAAATCTCACAGAGTTTAGAACCGGAACTATTAAAAAAGCCATAAAAAATAGCTGAAATGCTTGAAACTGCAAAATAGTTTTTTAATAAACAAGAGCTTCCAGGTCCCTTTAAAATTGTGTAAATTTCGTAAACGGTATTCAAATGTACTTGATTTAACAAAAAAAATCTGCTTATTTCCAAAAAAAAGTTTAAAAGCCGATTCCCCTTTCAAAGCGTAAGTCGAGAGGTGCCACGATTTCGCAAAGAGTAGCGCCAAGTACAAAACATTGTGCCGAGTGACACCACAGCTCCAAGATCGCCACCAACCCTAAAGAATAGCCGCAGCAGCAGCAAAAGGAGGTAGTCAAGCAGGGCGAGTGAGGGAGGGAGAGAAAGGCCCCACTGGGCCCTTCTTCTTTCCCACCCCCACTTTTTTTGGGCCACTTACTGCCTTCATTCGGGCCCGAAGGGGTGAACCAAATGGACTCGGAATCGGAAATCAAAGGTTAGGGGGCTGCGTACGGTATTGCAAAAGTGTGGTCTGTGGATTTTGGTGTTGAACTACAGGGGCCCCAACGACAAAGCCGACAGTAAAAATGCCAACAGCTAAAATGCCGAAAGCCAAAATGCTGACGTGCAAAATGCCGACAGCCAAAATCCCTGGAACAAAAATCCCGACGCCTAAAAGCCCCACAGTTCAAAATGCCGCCAGCCAAAATGCCAACAAGTCGAAAACCCGCCAAACAAAATTTCGACCGGTCAAAATCCCGACAGCCAAATCCCGACAGTCTTAAATCCGTACAGCAAAATCTCGAGCACCAAAATCGCGACCTTCTAGACCCCGAAAGCCAAAATACCGATAACCGTAACAATGATAAACCTATACGGGCAGCCAAACTGCCGACAGCAAAAATGCCGACAAGTCAAAATAACATCATTCAAAATAGCCGTTTATAAAGAGCTTGCTTGCAAAAAAAGCGCCAGGAATTGGAGCGGGATATTTTGTTTGTCGTGATTTTGCTTCTCTGAATTTTGCTTGTCCGGATTTTGGTTGTCGTCATTCGTCTGTCCGGATTTTGACTGGTGGGGATCATTGCTGGAATTCTTATCCAAGGCTCTCGGAAAGACGAAGAACCCGTGTACCATGTACCCGATTGCAACAATGTCGCGTGGGGGCACTGGTGTTGAACTATGGCAAAATGTACTAGCCATAAGAGTAATTAATCTTGGACTGATTCGGAACTATGGCCAGGTGCAGAGTGGGTGTTCTTGATGTGGTCCGTTGGATAGCTCCGATAACTTCGTTATCTCTCACTCTATCTATCTATCTCTCTCGCACTCTCTTTCCCTCGTTCTGTCTACTGTCGAAAAAGTAAAAATGAGGAAGAAATAGAAATTTAAAATTTTCTAAATGCCTTTTTTTTGAAAAAATCGCTTTTCAGAAAAACGTTAAATGCCTTTGGAAAAGCGCAGTGAAGCTCAGACCCAACACAATCCAAGGTTAACCGGATTTACCGGATAGCTTCTGAGCAAAAAATACCGACCAATGGGACCAACGGAACACGAACGCAGATCCGCCAAGCTATATACGAAAATGCGCATAGTTTCTCATTATTGCGCAACGTTGCTGCCGGAATTTTCGGTTCCCCCGCCGGGTTTGCTCTTTTAGTAGGCAATTAAAACTCGTATTTCGCGCTACGAATGGCGTTGCGAACCGAAAATAAGGGAAACGGGGGGGGTTATATTTTGTACTTGTTGCGGTGGTTGCCCTGGGGGGAAATCGGATCCCACCTTACAAATTAAGTGAATCTCCGGAAGTCAAGAAATGTTGGGTAAGAGCTATAGCTTAGCTTAGTCAATCTCTGCCTTTCTTTCTCTCGCTCTTACTCTCTCACTCTCTAGCTCGCTCTCTCGCTCTCTCTCTCGCTCGCTCCCTAGCTCTCTCTCTCCCTTCGGGAAAAATGCTATTTTGCTGCTGTTTCGTTGATTATTTGAAGAGACGTGGGGATTTTCCCCCGATCTGTATGGCAAACAAGGAAAAGCCGAAAAGCGTCGCCTCAGAAGAGGATGAGCTGTTAGGCATCACGATAGTTTATACAAAATTTTTGCTAGAAAAACGAACACCGATGCAGCTTTCAAGGAGCAGGACAGTCTCAAAATCGACCCTTCCCTTCAGCTAGGTCTCGACAGTTACGCGCCACTCGAAGTGACACCTCATAACTAGTGGAAATTTACTGACCACCAACTGCGAAGTACACGAAAAATGGTTTTGAAGACGTTAGGTGGAAAGAAAACAAAATTGTCTAGATCTAATTAGGAAAAGCGGTCGATCTTTGGCGTTTTAGACATTTTTCAAGGGCTCTGGAAGCTAAAAGTCTAGTACGATTTGCTAGATTTTTTGAGGGGAGGAGGCTAAGTAGACGGGTTGAAAATTCATAGCTTCATAGGTTTAACGGTAGCAACACAAAAACCCAAGAAGCTGATAGGACCAAAAAATGAAGCAAAAGACACATAAAACCAAGCAAGCTCGAAGCCAACTTCAAAAATTCCAGGTCCATCAAGCCCGGCACACCCAGCCGGACCATGTCATAAAATGGCATCCCCCCATAGTCAAATAAGCTATAAAAATGAGGGGGAGGCAAAAAAAGCTTGGCGATAATTTGTGCACCCGGGGAACGGACAGCCATGGAAAAAGCCTCTTCTCCCTGGGATCCCAGTGATTTTTGGTGCCAAATTCCGGGGCATAACGCTCAACCAAGCACGTCTGCGAGGGCCATTCAATTGCGGAGAGAATGCCGGATACAATGTAAAGAGGGAAATAACGGAATTCTGATATGAAAGCCGGAATCGAGGAGGGTTGGCGCAGGTTTTTAGAGTGAGCATACCGGCTAGATTCCGAAATCAGCATCGCCGATTTCGATATCTAACAGTTGTCATTAGTATGACAGAGCAAACCAGAGAGCGCGAGATCGAGGGAGAAAGAAGAGAAAGAGCGAGAGAGAGAGAGAGAGAGAGAGAGAGAGAGAGAGAGAGAGAGAGAGAAAGAGAGAGTCGGTGAGAAAAAGAGAAAGAGTGAGAAAGAGAGGGAGAGAGAGTGAGATGGGGAACGAGGGAGCGATAGAGAGCTGGTTCCGGAAATCTGGAAAATACACTGAGTGAACTGAAAATTGAACTTAATTTGATCATCATTTTCCAGGTTAAACCTTAATTATAAAACTCCCAGAAATTCCCCGGGAGGCTTCGAAACTAATTTCGAACAATTTCGGTAGTGTAGGAAAAAGCTTGCTCTGTTTCGAAAACGGCCACTCGGCCGGCGGCGCTGAAAAGGTGATGGGGAAGCAGAAAAAAAACGAAAAATACACAAAGGCCACCCGCGATGTTTGCCGTCTCGTTGGGTGCAAAACTCTTAGGGGGCCTTTCACGTGAAGCTCAGCAGAAAATTGCAGAAATTGCTACAAGAAAAATTGAAGGCTAGTAAATGTTTCGGCAAGTTTTACGAATCTTAGGAAGCTGTAAAAACTCATGAAAAATTCGAATTTGGGCTGAGGATTGAGAAAAAAGAGCGAGATAGAGTGAGAGAGCGAGAGAAAAAGCAAGCTAAAGCTCGGATTTTCGGAAGAGGTTTTCACAGGCCCAAAGTGGCCCAACCCGAGCATCGAAGGGGGAGGGTCAGAGACGTAGTAAACTAACAACAAGGAGAGAGAGAGAGAGAGAGAGAGAGAGAGAGAGAGAGAGAGAAAGAGAGAGAGAGAGAGGGAGTGAGAGAGAGAGACGGCACAGCTGGCTGACTCATTCTCAAAACAATGAGGCTATGAGGATAGCTGGATCGTGTCAGACACGATCTGGTCCCTCATTAATGTGCAAACAAAATCCATGAGGGGAAAATCAAGAAGTCCAGATAAAAATCAGCACTATTTGAAGCTAAACAAACTCACATAGGTGGCCAAATTGAAGACGGCGAGGGCTACGCGAACGAAGGAGACCTCCTGGATGGTCGACCAGAAGAGGACGAACGCCTCGCAGATGACGAGCAGCACGAAGCCCCACTAAATAGACATATGCGATTCTACGCAATACAGTAATCTACAGAAGAAGAAACGTAGTGTGCGATAAACTGACCAAACGGGCATTATGAAGTAGCGTGGGTTTCGGACGCTTCTTTGGTGGTTCTCTCCGGGTGTATTGGATTCTGGAATCAGGATTTTTTGGAAGGTTGAAAGTGTTTTCCAAACTCCTTAAAATGTGCTGAAAGTTTTTTTAAGAATCAAAACGAAAATTTGGCCTTTTGAGAGATTCAGCTGAATTTTTTATTAACTTACATTTGCAACGGTAATGAAATCCAGATGATGATCAACGGGAAAAAAGAGAAAAGACCTCGGGATGGGCAGGTGAGGTCCTGAAACGTTTTTTGGAAGTTAGAAGCTTAAGAGAACAGCGTCCTAGCACAGGCAGAAGGAGCAACCCAGCGGAATATTCTTAAGGTATCCTAACCCTCACGTAAACGTAAAAAATCAAAGCTTTGACTTTTAAACCCGCAAATCAATTTTGATAAAATATCGCATTTTTCGAGGATTCATAAGGTTTTAGGAATTTAAGCGAACAAGAAAATTTCTTTTAGATTATTAAATAGTTGTATGGTTAGAATTTTCTAAGAGGTGTAAAATGGTATAAAAATACTGGACTTGAAAACCGTTTCCGCCCGCTAGAAGGTTGCGTTTTGGCAAAAATTTGGAAGTCAAAGAGCGCAAATGTTACATGAAAACGCATTAATAATTGCTTCTGAACTTGAATATCCCACAAAACTTAAAGTCGTGCAAAAAATAAACAATTTCCGCGCTTTTCGAAACCCATTTTTGCGTTTTGGCAAGATTGCAAAGACCGGAAAAGTACAAATTTTACGTAAAAACATGTTAAGAATTTTATTCTGATCTTTAATTCCCTAGAAAACGACAGGCTTGCAAAAATAAACGGTTTATTCCTGGCCGGTTGCAGCCGGCGGCAAAAAGCTGGTGCGGATGTGGCGTTTGTGGATGTGTGGGTTTTTGGCTATGTGCTTCAATGCCAGGGCCTTTTTGGGCCCCTTCTCTCTCTCTCTCTCTCTCTCTCTCTCTCTCTCTCTTTCTTTCTCTCTCTCTCTTTCTCTCACTCGCACTCTCTTGCCCCTTTTTGGGCCCCCTGGCCGTCTGCCCCCTCCCTGCCATGCTCTGGGAGAGGCCCAACCCCAATGATCAGAGACGCATTTCCAGCGGTGTATTTGTCGTTTTGCGGAGGCCGTGTGAATTCCCCTTGGGGCCGGTGTATGCAAATTTGCACGCACCGGGTGGGAAAGGGAAATACAGCCTTATTGGGTGCACCGATCCTAAGCTCGGTAAGACTTCATTTTATCTCCAATCCAGCCGGAAGACTATAAACCACGCATTTTAAGCCTAAGCCTAATCCTAAGCCTAGGCCCAGGTCCACATCCAGGCCTAGCATACGCCTTTGCGTAGCCTAATCCTAAGCCCAAGCATATGCCTAAGTTTAACGGGGGTTTTACGGATTTTGCTTGCTTTTGGCATAAGCTTTGCCATTAACTTTTATACTCCCTCTCTCTCTCTCTCTCTCTCTCTCTCTCTCTCTCTGTAGTAGATGCCTTCTTCTCGCCAAGTTTTTTGAGAATACGAATAAATCTAGAAAATGCCGAAAACTAGGTTTCCACGATATTTCAGGTGCTAAAAAGCCACAACTCACCGAGGAGTAGCGCGAAAAGCAGTCGGCAATTACTTCCGGGTCCATCCTCGCACCCCCGCAGTGCGGCGTTTGAAGGTGCTGCAAGAGTGGAAAAAAATTTTAACGGAGAGGTCGGTCAAATCGAAAAAGGAAGGAGCAAATTAGGACCGATCCAAAATCGACCCAGAATCGCCAAAACTCCCGTCAGGCAAAATCCCGACAACCAAGGTGTCCGGAAATGCAAAGAAGCTCTTTAACGATTCAAACTAACGTCGCGAGTATGTTGGGATTTTGGCTGCAGTCGGGATTTTCCTGTCGGTATTTTGGGGCGTCGACATTTTGTTTGTCAGGGTTTCGGCTTTCGGGAGTTTGGCTTTTGCAAAAGGATGTAATGATTGGAAGGTAAATCGCATATCATAAGATATACTGTAGCTAGAGGCGTGTTGACATGATTGGTAAAGATAGAAGTTTAGCTCCAAGCCCAAAAAGTCGCAGACGTGGCGGCGCATGGGGCATTTCGGAATGTGGCACCCTCGTTTTCTACTCACATTTTTCAAAGCATCCGCTCGTGTACTCGTAATTTGCATAATCTCATGGCGACCCCATCAAGCCGGCTGGGTCGTTGTCGTGTTGATTTTGAGAGGAGAGTGGCAGATTGAAAAGAGAAAGAAAGAGAGACAGAGAGAGAGAGAGAGAGAGAGAGAGAGAGAGAGAGAGAGAGCGCGAGAGAGACGATGATGCTATCGTTTGAGGACTTTGGTCACTAAAGAGACCCGCATCAACCCGGAAAATCAGACGGAATCGAGCCGAGATCGTCTCTCGTTGGTCTCTTGCGATTTGTTCTGTTGATTGTGCAAGACTGACGGCGGCAAGCCGGTCATGCGTTCCCAACTGTTAAAGGGACGGACAAGTTTTGATCATGGAATTTTTAGGCGTGAATTGGCTAAGGTTTACTTTACCCCCCAGCCGGAAGTTTTTCGCTATAATTTTTTTATTTTACATTCTTGTAGGCTCAAATTAAAAGTCGTAGTATATTTTTCGACTCTCTATCGAACGGCGTCGCAAAATCTCGAACATCCCGAACAATTAACAAAAATACCGAAAACTTTGGGAGCCTTTGGCTATCGGGGGGATCGCAGATCTTGTCAAAACAGCGAAACGCAACGCTTCTGCTTGCCAGCACGTCGAGTGTCGCGGAGCAGTAACTCTATGAAAACTCCATACCTGGATTAAAGGTATCAAAACATCCCATGTCGATTACCCTAAAAAGTGTGACTGCGTGGAAATTACACGTGCTGTCCATACCCCTTAAAACGGACACATCCGCTCTTCCATTGCGTAATTCATAGAATTTTTTTGTATACTTTTTGCCGTTGTTACAGTAGCATAGTGTAATCTTCAGAGTTCTTCTTCTTGCAAAGTGCTTCAAGTTTGTTCTTATTGTCCCCCATAATTGCACCAGTGGGTTTCTCGTGTTTTTCAGCACCATAGTTCCAGTAGTAGCCGTGGGCAGAAAGGCGCACGAAAAATGCCGACCTCTCTCTCCGGCCAGGAATGCCCGGTTGCTGTGAACTCCGGTGCAGAACGGACCCCGGGAATGGAAAAGCCCGAGAGTTTTTGAACAAAATGATGCGTATTTTTCGCGATTCACGCGCCCAAATGTTCAGCGCCACATGGGTGTGCGACCGCAGCCGGGCAAAATGGGTGAATTTTGACGCCAAAATCAGGGCAGAAATGTCGTACAAAATCAGCTCCCGCGCTGCGCAACGCGTGCCACAAAACTTGCCTTTCGTCAAATTTCTTTCGTCAAGTTTTTTGTGTTTTTTTTTGGTCGTTGAATACATTTTCAGATGGTCCCGAATATAAATCAAATCCCTTTGACGCGGTTTCAGGTTTTCTGAAAATTTTAGTTCGTCCTTTCGTTCGTTTTTCGGCCTCCATGTGCGGATACTATTTTTATTTCGGGAAGTTCGCCATTTTCGGATCACCCTCTTTCAGTTATAATGTTAAAAAGGGGTGAAAGCGCCGATTTAAACCATATTTTCGTAATCAAAAAATATTCAGGTCGAGAAGCGCGCTCTTTCCATTTTTGGTTAAACAGTTCGAGCTCGATTTTCATCAAAATCCCAAAGTGAAAAACAAAATCGAAAGCAGTCTTGGTTAAGGGATAACTTTTTTGCTTTACAACATTTTGTTCTGAAAATTGGTGTGTACACAGAACCTATAGGTTTCGATCTCTGGTAAAAGTTTGCATTCGACCGGATAAAAGCCGGGAAAATACCGTAGATTTTTGTTATATTCTGTAGTTTCCTGCCCAGCGATCAACTCTCATTTTAGGTAAAAATCTTTTTATTCGCATCTCAGTATCTCGGCGCTGCCAAAATTATATCGAAAAATCTATACAGGGTGTCCCAAAAAAAAGACCCCTTCTTTTTTTTCCGGGGTGTTAAATGGTCCCCAACCAAAAGAAAAAAAAAAAAAAAAAACAAAAAAAAAAAAAATATAAATAAAAAAATTAAATAAAAAAAAAAAAAAGAAAAAAAAAAAAAAAAAATTAATTTTTTTTATTAAAAAATTTTAAATAAAAAAAAAAACCAAAAAAAAAAAAAAAAAAGAAAAAAAAATTTTTTTTTAAAAAATTTAAAAATAAAAAAAAAAAAAAAAAAAAAAAAAATTAAAAAAAAATATTTAAAAAAAAAAAAAAAAAAAATTAAAAAAAAAAGGGGAAAATAAAAAAGGGAAGAAAAAAAAAAAAAAAAAAAAAAAAAAAGAAAAAAAAAAAAAAAAAAAGGAAAAATTAGAAAATAAGAAAAATTATAAATTTTTTATAAATGGGGGGTGGAAAAAAATGGGGGTTAAAAAATGGGGGGGGTTTAAAAAAAGGGTTGGAATTGGGGTTGGGGGGGGTTGGGGGGAGAAAGGGGAAAAGGGGGAGGGTTGGTGTTTTTTTTTTTTTATATTAAAACAATCCAAAAAATCATATTATTAATATTATTAGTATTATTAAAAGGCAATGGATCACCATAAGAAAAACACAGCGGCAAACATTAAAAACGATATAACCACAAAAAATTATTCAAATTATTACGTTTGGTATGCAAAATAAATTTTGAATACAATTTTAATAAGTGAATTTTAGGGTTATTTTGGAAGTGGCCAGCGCGGGAAATTGTTCAACACAACAAAGATTAGCTTAAAAACATCAAAAAATTGTAAAAATTATCGCTAATTGATATATTCTATTTTTAGAGAGGGCCAGGAGAATTTTGAGACCGGTAAAGCAGGCGACCGAGTTATTTTTTGGGGGGATTTTCTAGCCTTTCAAAAAGTCCATTTTCTGGATGCAAATTGCATATAAACATCACTAAAACTGGGCGGATTTGGAGCATAAAGTTTCAAGTTTAGGAATGTGGTTTTTGCATGCAAATCGCATGGAAAATGGCCCAAAACAACGAATTTTTCAAATTTTTAGCAGCTTGAAAAATTTGAAATACAAAGGGGCTTTATTAGTAATCCATGAACGGTAAAATATTTTCATATGCAAATTGCAAACAAAAAAACAATTTAAACGTTCAGAAGTTGCTTGCAGATATTTCAAAAAATGGAAAGTTTAGCAAGCAAAAATCCTAGTGATTATTTTTATGCTGAAACTTTAGGTGCTTTTTTCGCGATGCTAAATCAAAGCAAAAATTAAAATAATTCCCAAAGCTGAAAAAATCGGTTTTGATTTAAGATTTAGAAAATCTATTTTTTATTTTCTATGTTCCAATCTCAATTTAACCTTTGTTTTTCCATATGCAAATTTCAACCAGAAAATGGGCCTAATTGGAATGCAATAGAATTTGGGGGGCTGTGATGAGCAACGATGGCAATTGGGAGGAGTGGGGAAGGGATGAAGCAGCATGCGAAACAATGGCTGAAAGCACTCGCGCTAGGCAACATTTTTGGGGGCGTTTTCGAATTCATTAGAATAATAAAATTTTTGGGTAAATTTAATCGGAATCGGGGAGTTGAGTAGACGACCAGAAATGTCGAAATCGGGCCCTATTTAAATAGGGAAAAGACGCGGGCGGCCGATCCCTCCACCAAGTTCGACATGTTCGACACGGCAGCGGTGGCACCGCCCAACGACAGACCGGAAGCGGAATGCGTGGCCGCCGAGGCGTCGTGTAGGGCGCAGTTCGTCTCCTGAAACGCAGCAAAATTAAAAAAAAAACGCCGTACAGGAATCCCGAAATACCCAAAAAATACCGAAAACCCGAGGTCCTAACAATGTCGAAATACACCGAAAACCCCAAAATTGTTCTTTGAACTGATTTCCAGTCATAATGCAGGCATCCAAACGCCGAAAGCGAAGATGCCGACATTTGGAATTCCGAAGACAAAAACGCAGACAGCCAAAATATCGACACCAAAAATGCCGACACATGAATTTGGCATCCCGAAATGCTAAAAAAATACCGAAGCCCAAGATCCGAAAATCCTAAATCCCGAAGAGCGTGAAAATCTGCTCTTTATAGACGAATCCGAGCCCCATACCGACACCAAAAATACCAACAGCCAAAATGTCGAAACCCAAAATGCCGACGCTTAAAATACGAAATGCCGAAATTGCGAAAACCACAATGCCGAAAGCTAAAATGATGTCAGCCGAAATTCCGATAGGATTTTCCGCTTTTCTAAATTATGAGATTCCAGCATTATAAATTTCGACATTATGAATTTGGGCATTGTGCGTCTTAAGGCCTTCAAAATCCCGAAAAACCCCTCCGTGTCCCAATAACGAAAAATTAATGGATGTTTACGTTTTGCGACTAATTCCGCCTGCACGTAAAGCAGGCAAGATGTGAGAATTTCGGTACTTTCAGCTCCTGGAAACGACGTGAATATCAGGTATTAAGCTCAATTTTTCGGAATCGTATTTTTACCTCGACTTGCATGCGACGCGCGATGGATTGGTGGGACTTGTTGTTGAGACGCTCCTCTTCGATACCCTGGAGTTCGAAGTCCGAGTAGACTTTCTGGAAATGAAAGATTTTATCTATCCCTCTATCTATCTCTCTCCCTCTCTCTCTCACTCTCTCTCTCTCTCTCTCTCTCTCTCTGCCTCCCATACCTTGACGATGAACGACAAGCAGGTGAACTGGTAGGGCGACAGGTTCTGCTGGAGTCTCTCCGTCAGCCACTCGTTGATCAGCTTCATCTGGTTGTCGTACCAGTGCTAAAAATTCGATTTAGTGACCCATATCCGTCAAAAGAAATACCTCAAAGACCCGGTTGACCCAAACTTCATCAACGACAATCTGACGTAGCTGCTCAGTGCAGCCGCGCATGAACGTCACGTAGTTGTTGCCGATGTGGCCGGATTGTTGGGATGGGGTCGCGCCGACGGGTTGTTTCTGAAAATGAAATATGTCCAGCTCCGTCTCTCTCTCTCTCTCTCCTCTCTCTCTCTCTCTAAACCTACCACAGCCTGATGCGGTGACTGTGCCTGATCGACCATTCCCTTCATTTTGTTGAAGATCGAGGTCGGCTTGGGCTAAAATCAAATAAGTTCCGAGTTTCCCCAACTTACCGCAATGGAAAGGAAGGCCCCAATTGGGTTTCCCTCATCGTATCGGGCCAACTTCCCGAGCACGAACTCCAACACGCCGATGAGCTTATCCTGGAGGCTGTGTTCCATGTCGTGAAGCATCGTGTCCAGGGTCTCGTCGAGTTTGGATTGGTAGCCTTTGTACTGAAAAACGTGGGATAGAGCCTGAGAGAGAGAGAGAGCGAGAGATAGGGAGAGAGAGAGAGAGAGAGAGAGAGAAAGAGAGAGAGAGAGTGAGAGAGAGGGAGAGAGAGGCGAATGCATCTTGGGAGACCTGAAAAGGTGGAGGAAGATGAGAGAAAGAGAGAAAGGGAGAACGAGAGAGAGATCGAGAGAAAGAGAGAAAGAGAGAGCGAGAGAAATTTACCTCAGTATCCATCTTCAGCCTCAACGCCCTGGTCTTGCTGGAGAAGATGACGTTGATCATCACGCACACCTCAGTGGGCAAGATGTAGTCGGTAGACTTCTTGTACCTCTGCATCCAGCCGTCGAAGCATTGGAACGTGCTGGAAATAATTAGTTGGTCGGAAATAAGGAAAGTTTTTGACCTGTTTGCGACCTTGGCCACCATGTCCGAAGTTAGGCTCTTCATACGGATCGTCAGATACTTGCGAAATTCTTCCTCGGGCCAGTTCAGGTCGTGCACAAAGCCTGGAATTTCAAATTTTTAGATGCTCTCTTCTCTCGCTGTCCCTAGCGCTCTCTTCGCATTTGGCACGTTCCCCTTGACTTCAATGATCGCTGATAGCCCGCCAAAATGAAGACCGCCACTCCGACCGACTCCCTGCCGCTTGCCGGCTGGAGCAAGGTTGCGCAAATGCTCACTGCTAGTTTCACCTCCATTTGATTTCCAAGGATCTCTGCTAGCCTGTCCCTAAGAGCTGTAAATTTGCCGCAAATTGTCATTACTGTGCGAAGTGCCCCAAGTGTCAGCAAGTGCCTCTGCTAGCTTACCAATCGTACGAGATTTCGCTTCCTAACGCTGTGAAATCACAAGGTTTCGCTGCTAGCTTGCCACTGGTGAACCGGAAAGAACCTCTGCTAGATTGCCACTTGTAGGTCGCAAAGAATCTTTGCTGGCCAGCCACTCACAATGCTGGTCTGCTCAAGCCGTCACCAGTGATTTCTGCTAACTGGCCTAAGGCGTCACCAATGATTCTGATAGCTTCCCTTACCGGGGTGATGTGAAAGTGGCCCTACCAGGCCACTCTTATTCCTCAAAGTTCGCTGCAAGCTTACCCAGTTACTTTTTTACACTCAAAAACCTCTGCTAACCTGCCTCGCCTTCTGAGTGTCACAAAAAACCTTTGCTAGTTTGCCCTGTAGCAGTCATTCCTTCAAAACACCAGTACCCAATTTTTGGCCATTTTTTTCAAATTTTTAACTCCAAACCCACCTTGCAGCGCATCCAGCTTCCAATAAATATCTTCCGAGGTGGCGCAGCCATCTCTGAAAAATCAACAATATTCTTGTTAGTGCTTGACTATATCGTTTCTACCACCAAAAATAAACAGGCTGCTATGGAAACGACAGTGAGGACACGGATCGTGGGGGCCCGCGGGGGGTTTATATAGAAAAACAATCGGTTGGTGCATTAATGGGGCCCATGTCTCGCGTTTAGCTTGGCTCTCTATGGACAATCCATGCTCCGCTAGGACACGCTCAGATGCTCTTATTTGGGTGCTTTTGCATTATCGGGGGACCAATTTGTGCACTTAAAATCCAATAGCTTGAAAAGGCGTTAGCTGTTTTGGATATTCCTCAAGTAAAACTTCACAAATATCGATTTTCGACCAAAAATCCAGACTTTCGAAAATTCGCATTTTTCGAATTTTTAATCTTTAATTTATTTTTCCTGTTTCAATATATTTCGATTCAAGAAAAATTATGAAAATACTTATTTTGCTAAACATTTCCAAAGTTTTACAAAAAAACAGGTATCCCGTCCCATCACCGCTAATGCAAAGCACCCTTTTTCTATCGGCTTTTTTCTTTCGCTTTTTCTCTCTCTCTCCCTCTCTCCCGATCTCTCTCTCTCTCACTCTCTATCTCTAGCCGTTTTCCACTCTTGTGTTATTTGTACACAAACGTACTCGTTGGCGTTGGGTTGGACTCTGAAAGGGTGATACGGTTAGGAAAAGCAAGCCAAAATTTCTCTTGGTATCGAAATTGTTATAAAAGCGATCAGAAAAATGGCTTATCTAGGTGAAGCAAATTAATTAAAAAATCTATAAATGAGTTTTCCATTAAAAACCGACTTTCTGGGTTCCCATTTCTCCTTGGTGAAACCCTTCTCGATGGACTGGCTGATGGAGTGTTCCATCAGATCGACGTATCGCGTGACCAGAGGTTGGAACTGCTGGGTGATTTTTGTGTGGAAGATGCCGTTTTTCAGCGAGTCTGAAATGGGAAAATGGGGAGTTACAGGGAGTTAAAGTGTTAAAATCGACCCCCCATCTACTGGGTGTCGACAGTACACCTAACGCCTTGGAAAATTGCTTGCGCTTGCGTTTGCTTGCGTGTCTCGTCGCGACCATATCCGAAAATCCAGATATTCATAGCAAAAAATCTAAAGACATGCCTCCGCCGTTTTAAAAAGACTGAAACGCTTGAAAATGGCCGCTGATTCGGCCATTGGCTGGGTCGCGACAGTTACGTGGACGCAACTTCGTCGTCTTGGAAAATCCCAACCTCTGCGCAACGGATACGCGAAAGCGCCGTTTTCTACGCTTTGCGTGTCGCGTCGCGGCAAAATCCAGAAATCGAGGTACTCCAGCCAAAAATCCTGAGATTCGCCTCTCACGCCCTTTTATAGTAATTGGGAAGTGGGTAAATCGACCCATTACAACCGCTGGGTATGGACAGTTATGCGGGGTCTTGCGACAATTTTTTCAAATCCTAGTGATTTCATCTACTTACTCTCGCTCATCAGGAAGTCGTTGAGCATCTGGAAAAGCGGGAACGAGTCCCAGGAGTCGGCTGGCTGCATCTGAAAAAACCAGCGTTTTTGAGACCCAAATGATCTTTGCTAGCCTGCCTCCTTAGCCCAGTAAACCGCCAAAAACTTTGTATTTCCCAAAGAACCTTGCTAGCTTGTCCGGTCTCAAAAATCACCTGTAGAGCTGCGTCCAAATCCACCGAATACAGACTCCAGAAGATCTCCGAGTGATCCGTCAGCAAATCCGAGAACCAAGCGAACGCCTAAAAACAGGGTTTTGCTTCGTAGACTTCGAAAACTACAAATCGCACACTCCCGAACAAATACAAACAAAACGTGAGAAGCCGTCTAATGATAAATGAGTGGGGGAGCAGCAGCTGATTATGTTGGAGAGCAGCGCGGCAGCAGCTGTGTTAGTGAGGGGGAAGATTGACCACCGCTCCAAGTACCCTTTTGGTTCTCTATCACTCTCTCTCTCTCTCTCTCTCTCACTCTCTCTCTCTCTATTTCTCGCGCGCTCTCTCTCTCTCTCTCTCTTCTCGCTCTTTCTCTCTCACTTTCTCCTCGCTTTCCAAAAAGCACGCAAGGGATAGAGAGAGAGGGAGAAAGCGCGAGATAGAGCAAGAGAGAGAGTGCAACAGAGAGAGAGACAGAGAGAGAGGGAGAGTTTGAGAACGAACTTGAGAAGGCGTGCAAGGAGCGGATGGCCAAATGTAGTGTGAGCTGCACAAAAACTACGGTAGAAAATGCAAAATCTGCTTTTTTCGGAATTTCCTCAGCAGGACGTGGTTAGTGGTTTAGCTCGTTTTAATGCCAAATCAAAATTGCAAATGTTCGGGGTTGGGAGGGAGGTGTAAGGATAAAATGGGGGATGTCCCGGGGGGAAAGCACTCGTCTCTACAAGGCTTTTTGAGCTTTAGTAATTTGAATCCAAATTATTCTTATTGTATTTGATTGATTTAGCTTTAATTTGTTAGTTTGCCATATATTGTTAAATTTTGTATTGCGATTATGATTATTTAATTTAGCTCCAAAATTTGCCATAAGGACTTCGGAAGTTTTTTTAAATATTGAAGTGCTGCGATGTGGATTTGTTTTAGTAATGCAAATAATTTAGAGTAGCGCAAAAATATGTCTCCTAGTTTGAAAATGCAAGATTCACGCTTTTTTAAAGTTAAAAAGCTCGTTTTTGCTTAAGCAAGTAAAATTATTGCAAAAACCTATAAAATTAGTTTTTATAAAACAAAAAAATCCAAAAATCCAATTTTAGGCTTCTAAAATACGCTCAAAAAGCCCTCTGGGTGTGGCCCGGCCCGTCCAGCAACGGGAAAACCGCTGGGCACTGGGCGAAAAAACGGAAAAACAGGGATACCGTTAGTGCGGACAGGAATGGAATATGGAAACTGTTCTCTCTCGGGTACACCATACCCCTCTGATCTGCTAAAAGAAATATGATACAGAATATATAGAAATGATAGGATAGAAGAGATACAGTATCTCTCACTCGCTTCAAAAAAAGCCGGTTTTTGGAAAGGCTGAGACGGGGAATTGTGGAAATAGCGTTTTTTAGGAACGACTTAAATCTCACCTAATCCGAAAACTAAGCTTAAGCCTAAGAGCAAGCCCAGGCTTAACTCAAACCTGTGCCTAAGCCTATGCCGAAGCCTAAGCTAAGCCTAAGTTAAGCCTAAGCTAAGCCTAAGCTAAGTCTAAGCTAAGCCTAAGCTGAGCCTAAGCTAAGCCTAAGCTAAGCCTAAGCTAAGCCTAAGCTAAGCCTCAGCTAAGCAGGCCTTTCCTTATGGCCCCAGATAGCGTCTTTCCTACCTTGCATAAAATCAAGTTAAACGCCTTCCCAAAAATTCAAAATAAGTGGTAGCACGAGTTTAAGAAAGAAATGCATTGAAAATGACAACCTAGCGCCGAGAATTTATTTTATAGTGGCGGCAATTTGGCGTAAACAATTTTTTTGCCCGACAGTCACGCCATCCCATGTTCTTCTCGTAAATTCGAGCTATGCGTTTTCTCTAATTTTGCACGCCGTTTTTATATTTATTTTTTCGTTCGATTTACGTCAATGCCTCTCGAGAGAAATTCTGTAAGTCATTTTCAACCTATTTTTTTCATTTTTCCTGCAATTTGCAATAACTAGAATCAGGCCCTGCCATTTCCACAATTCCCTTCAGTCCCTGCTTTCCAAAAAAAAAACAAGAGAAAATCGAAGATTATGTTCCTACCTCGCCGTGGTGCTCCTCGTTTTCCTTCAGCAGGTCGATGCAGTACTCGGTGATCCTCACCATGTCTTCAATTCGTTGGGCTGGGGAAACTTCTTGGTTCATTCTTTCTGAAAATACAAGACTGAAATGGATCTCTCTCACTCGCTTTCTCTCACTCTCTCTCTCATCGGTACCCCTCTCCCTTTCGTTCTCTCGCTGTCACTCTATGTCTATCTCTCTGTCTGTCCCTCACGCTTTGTCTCGCTCAACACCCTCTTGCTTCTCTCTCTCCCATCTCTCTTGCTCTCTCCTACTCTCTCCCCTCTCCCCCCTCTCTCACACCCTCTCTCTCCTTCTCTTCCTTCTTATAACCCACGCTCAATCTTGGCCTCATTGCATATCCTGGTGTAATTCACGAGCGCCGCATTCTCCAAGCACTGTCGGATGACAGCCCGGACCTCTTCAGGAGGTACAGGGGAGACAACGTCCTTCATCAGCACCTGCAACAGGACCTTATTTTTGATAATTAAAACTCGGAATTCTGCACACGATTTTATACGGCACAAAAGTTGGGTTTTTTGTGTGCTGAAGGACTGTTGTGGTGATTGCTGAAAAGCGGCATCAACGATTTTACGAAAAAAAACGAGAAAATCGAAAAACCGAAGTTTGAAAATGGGATTAAAAGGTGACTTGGAGTTTAGAATTTGTATCGTAAAAAACCAAAAAATTGTTTCCAACATTTTAAAGCGATGGTACCAACAGCACAACTGGCACCGGAGGCCGTTTTTCGCATTTTTTAAAAACGGTTTTAAAATCACGAGAAATCGCAAAAATCGACCCCTATTTCGACTAGGTCTAGACAGCTACGTCACGCGCTTAAAGCGTACTGAAATGTGCACTCAACCTGTTGGGTCTTGATAGAGTGTGGTGCGCAGCGGGACGAACAGTTATCGAACAACTGTTTATTCGGTGAGCAACATGGCGGCAAGAGGAGGAGAAATTAGAACCGAATGGAACTGGGGAAATAAATGCCATCGCTGGCCCAGTGGGGAGAGAGACCCCGCTACGGTGGAAAGGGCACTGGATAGGCGAGGGGCCGGGGAGCAAAGGGAAAAGGCGGGGGCGCTCGAAGGCGCTCCGCAACACCTCCCCCTGTACAAAACGAAAAGAAAGGAAATTGTGGAGAGGAAGAGGAGACACCAAAAGGACAATGTACAACTGCGTACAAGCAAAACGAGGGATCAAATCACAACGTACAATAAGTCAAACTTATTTGCTTTTTCCTTTATTAATTGGCGCGCTTGGGCGACGGTCATCCTTCCTTCCTTCCTTCAACGTTCGACGCTGCTTCACCAAGGTAGACGGCACTGCGGGCACGCCTCCTTCCCTCATGCAAGAGATGAGCTTGATCTTGCCGCTCCATGTCGACGGGCTCGCTGGGGCACCGTCCGCCGAGCTGCTGCATCAGACCCGGTCTTCGCGATGGGCCTCTTCCGTAGAGGTGAAATCCATCGGCCGGCTGCTCGCTGTAGTGGCGCGCCGGTCTCTCGACTACAAACCGTCGGAGGTTGCCGGGGCTTTCAGAAAAGCCTGGGTTCCGGTCTTTCGGGCTACAGACGGCCGTAAGTCGCCGGCGACTTTCAAAAATCGGCTTCCGGTCTTCCAAGACGGGCCCTTCCATAGAGGTGTACCATCTGCCGGCCGCTCCGGTAGTGGCGCGCCGGTCTTTCTCGACTATCAACCGTCGGAGGTTGCCGGGGACTTTTCAAAAGTCTGCTCCCGGTCTTTAAACGACGGGCCCTTCCATAGAGGTGTACCATCGGCCGGCGGCACTCGGTAGTGGGCACCGGTCTTTCTCGGCTATAAACGGCCGGTCGTTGCCGGGGACTTTCAGAAAAGTCGGCGTCCCGGTCTTCAACGGCTATAAACGGCCGGACGTTGCCGCGGGCTTTCCAACGTGAAAGACACCGCGGTCTTTTCCTTTCCTTGAAGAAGTCGCGGCCGGCCTTGACGGGGTTCCAGGGGGAGCGGCCCGGATGCCGCGTAGTTGACCCATTGTCGTGGCCTCTCTGCATTTTTGTCGTCCTTGGCTGGAGACACCTCCTTCCTTCTTGCGCTTGAGGGCGACGGCGCTTCGACTTGTCCTCTTGTCGACGGGCATGGCCACGGATCCGGGCACATAGAAAGTGCGAAGGCCAAATAGGGCAAAAGACCCCCTTCAATCGAATCCTCCATGGGATGAGCCGCTTCTTTGCCATGTAGAGCTTTTGTCCTTGCGCTTGATCCACATCTGCTTGACCAACTGTCCTTGACTGGGCGCGGCTTGGCGGCTGCTTCTTGGCTTGGGCTTTTCCTGTGTTGCGTGAGTTCGGAATCCTTGATCGCCAGTTGTTGTGTCTTGATAGTGTTGCGCAGCGGGACGAACAGTTATCGAACAACTGTTTATTCGGTGAGCAACATGGCGGCAAGAGGAGGAGATTAGAACCGAATTGAACTCGGGTATGCCACGTGGCCCAGTGGGGAGGCCCCGCTACGGTGGAAAGGGCCGGTAGGCGAGGGGCGGGGAGCAAGGGAAAGGGGGGGGCTCGAAGGGCCCGCAACACAACCGAAACCTACTAGCTAAATAGCTAAAAATTAGCTGGGTTTGCGCGACTGTCGAGACCTAGCGAGGCTAGGGGTCGATTCTCGGGCTGTTTAATCTTTTTAAAAATCCAAAAAGTTGTATCAGTAATTCCAAGCCGCCTACTTCCTCGCATGCACAGTAAAAACTAGAAAAGTACGATGCACTCCAGACAACACTCCAAAAAAATGGAAAAGCATTTTGTGACGCGACTACAGTGATGTTCTCCACAGGGTAAAAAAGCCAATAAATCGAAGAGCTGAAATTGGCCTTAAAGGACCGCTAAAGCCTCCCTAAAGGACCACTAAAGGCAACTGCGCAGTGAAAGGGAAGGTGTACGGTGGAGCTCGGCAACTTCAAAATCTGGGGTGTTTTCACAAAGGCGCAGAGCAGAACTGGGTGTATCGTGTAGGGGGCCTAATAAACACCTGATCGGCGTCGGAGTGTGTCGTTGTATGCTCGAGCATCACCTGGAAATGGAAGGGGACAGGTAAGAGAAAGAGACAGGAGAGGGACAGAGATAGGGTAGGGAAGCATGTAACTTGAAGCTAATCTCTTTATGGCTTTAACGGGGGTGGGAAAGTTTCAGCTAAATTTTTTAGGCGATTTGAGAGGGAGTTCGAAGCTTAGGGAAAATGAACTATTTGTTAGGGTTCAGGGAAAAGGTTGTTTGGAAATAAAGATCTGTGGCGGCGGCCAGAGAAAAATATGAAAAAACGAGAGGGGGAGATAGAGAGATAGAGAGAGAGAGCGACAGCTATAGAACGCTATAGCATAAGATCAAGCGAGAGAAAACGATAAAAAAATAGAGAGAGAGAGAGAGAGAGAGAGAGAGAGAGAGAGAGAGAGAGAGAGAGAGAGAGAGAGAGAGAGCGAGATGGACGAGAGAAAGCGAGAGATATGAGGAAATTGAGGGGACATCTTATAAAAGCCTTTTCCTTAAGGTTGTCCAAATAAAAATTCCATTTTTTTACTCTATTATTGGCGTAGAAAAATTTAAAAACACCATAAGTCAACTCAAAAACTGATATTTTCATGCCGATCAAAATTTACGAAATATGTCAAACCAAAGATCACATAAAAACGTTCTCCATTCCCGAGAGAGTGAACTCAAAACGAAGAGATTTTTAAATGGTCATGCTAGAAAGAAAGGAAAATGATAGAGCATAGAACCAAGTCGGACGTTCAAGGCAGAGAGGTTGCCATTTAGGAAAGAAGGAGGGCATGCGAATTTGTATTTTTGGAATCCATTACGATAGGAAACTGAATATTACCCTCTCGAGAAGACTTAACGTCCCCTTGAGCGCGCCTTCCGGTCGTCCGAACGGGAAGCAGTAGCTAAAAAAACGAGGAATTGGGGTGAACCGATTGTTTTCCGCAAAATCTCTGTCTATTATTGAAATCGCAAACTATTTCTCTCTCTCTCTCTCTCTCTCTCTCTCTCTCTCTTTCTTTCTCGCTTGCTCTCTCTTTCGCCTGAGAATCTCCACTAGCAGCTCACCGAAAGTTCGTGATCTGCTTTTCTAACAGTATTCTCAGCCTCTCCTTGATTTCTTGAAAGCGTTCCTTCTCCTCCTGCGTTACCGTACCCACACCAT